ACCCTGTTAGATTTGTTGATTGTTTGTGAAATTTGTGGGTTCTGAGTGCGAGTATTCAGTGGGATTAGATGCTTTATTGTTGTTTAGAGGAGAAAAGGGTGATGCTTGCTTGCTGACTTATTATTATTGTTAGTCATTGTGATGGGTGTGTTGCATTCTGATTCTGGTGTATGTCTTATTCGTTTACTAGACTGAGATAAATCACCTCGTGATCACTGGAGGTGAGCCTGCGTCATCAGTAAAGGGTAATTGCGCTGTGATGTATGGTTGTGACGAATACTTGAACACACTGTACTTGTACATACAGTCCTCCAGGTAACTAGTTCGCCGAGTTGACAGTATCATCCGGGTCGGATTTCCGCCGGGAAAGGATCTCTTGCGTACATACAGAACAGGTATAGTCCATATGCTACTTAAACGTAGTAGATGTCTGGTCCAGCCCTACGAGAGGGGTTGGTTCCCTGCGGTTTCTTTAGGCGAATCTTGCACGAGAACGAAAGCTGGTCGAGTATCTTGCTAAGGAAGTGGACAGACTAACTACCGAGTACTGTGTATCTCTCAGCTCTAGGCTCATTCGAAACGCCGTGTACAAGTCACTCGGTCTCTGGAATGCTTGGCTGGGTGCGATTTCAAGGGATGTAAATGCGAATCATGGTAGGACAGATGTGCCTACTATGTATGTATGTTCGAGAAGAACTATTGGGCAGATGAGGAGGTAGTATATTATTGGTGCTGGGTGGGAAATAATTGGGGCAATTATTGCTGATAGTAGGGCCTCAGGCTGCGTCTCATGGTGAGCTATTCTTAGATCAATATTGAACTGCATAGTGCAGAGCAAACGTCAAAGACAGAGCATAGCTGGTGTGGTTCATGTTATACCATAAAAAGGTGCTTGGATGTGTCAATGACCTTCAGGGTGATAGGGTGCTGTGTCTATGGGGTTGCGTGCATGCGCGGGCACAACAACCCCGGGGACAGGCGGTAGTCAGTTAGTTCAGTAGAATATGAACCTAGCGGATAGTGATCTAGTTAGTAAATGGACTAAGTGCACTTCATTCACTCAATTCTCAGAAGTTTCACCGAGATGGCAGCTGGCTGGCTGGCTGATTTTCTCTTCTTCCTTGGGTGACAGGCAAGATGAATGAGTAATTGGCAGTTACGATGTGCTACATGGTCAGCAGGTAGCTCGAAAAGGCGTCTGCAGGTCACTGCCTGGTCTCTGCGTCTGTTTGGTTTGGGGGGGCGAACCACCCACCCATCTGTACGGTGGATTACCGTACGCGGGCGAGGATGTCATGTCACTCAACCTGGCCAAATGGAACGCACTTTAGAGGATGGCACATGTAGAGTTGATGAAGCTTAACGTGTTCAAAGTTCTCTGACTAGCTCTAGTAGGTAGTCGCTCTACTGCATCTTCAGGACTCCATACAATGTCCTTCCCCCATTAGCGATGCACACTCGATCCCCTTTCTGGAGGATGGAGCTGACAAGACGATACAGTACTAAAACCGAGTGGGGAATGTGAGTTGGCCTCTACAATTGATTCCCCCAATGCCTTACTGCGGCTGCGCCAATAGACACTCGGGCCAAGGACCAGTTGTCCCCACCGTCGGGTCTGGACATCGCCCGTATTGTGACTGAAAGATTGGAGTTGAGTTTGGGATGTGGTGGTGGTTGAGGATGATTACGTGAGGAGAGACATGAGCGATAGTGAATGACTTGGACGGAGGTACAGGAAAGTGAGTGGTAGGTTGGTAGAAGCATAGCAAGCACTCAGTCAGATGTACTGTACACATTCACAGTGTTGGTGCAAAAAGGGATAGAAGCTCCCCTCCCTCCCCCCAACGGCAAGCAAAAAGAATGCATCCATCAGCGGTACGAATCCGGTTCCCGGGGGTTATGTACGGGATACAATACCGAGCCATTCATCCACGTGACTGACCGCCTGCCTGTCCCAACCGGCACCTTGCCTTCTTTGACCTTTCTCAATCCAATTCCACCCCCCCCCCAGTTTCTCTTTCCTTCTCGTCCTGAACCCAAACCCTGCGAAGCAAACGCGTTACTCGATTTGGTCATTCTCCCTCCCCCTCAAAAGCATCATTCCTCTTTGGGCATTTGTCTTCACGTCCCCCAGTATCTTCTTTCCTCACTCTACTCTGCTTAAGGGATTTCTTTGAGCCCCTTCTTTCCCACGTCTTCACCTCCTCCTAATTCCCGCCATGGCCGACATCACCGCCGTCGGTGAAGAGAACCCTTCTCCTACTCAGGACGACCTGCAGCAGGCCGCCGGTAACGGCGCCGCTGACAACCGCGGCACCAAACGCTCTCGCATGAGCGCTGCCGACGACGACGATGACGATGATGACAAGCCTGGTCGCGAGCGCAGAAAGATCGAGATCAAGTTTATCCAGGATAAGTCGCGTCGCCACATCACCTTCTCCAAGCGGAAGGCGGGTATCATGAAGAAGGTACGTGCTTTGCGCGTCTCAGTCCCTTCAACGTCTTTTCTTGGGCCTTCAATCGTCTGCAAAGGCGGTGCATTCGCATTTCATTGTTTCGTGTCGCTGCCTTGATACACCATCTCTCGCACCAATTCGTGATGCTCGCGTGAAATTCATTGTCAACCTTTCGCGTGGCTGGTACTGACGCAACATCGCGGTCGCAAAACAGGCGTATGAACTCTCCGTCCTTACTGGTACTCAAGTATTGCTTCTTGTCGTGTCTGAGACGGGTCTCGTGTATACTTTCACCACCCCGAAGCTCCAACCACTGGTGACCAAGCCCGAGGGCAAGAATCTGATTCAGGTGAGTGTGGCGTTGGCAATGTTTCACCCCAAACGATTGACTCACATCTCTCCGCGACAGGCCTGTCTCAACGCCCCCGATCCGACCGCCAATGAGAACGGCGTTGATGCCCCCGAGGTGCCTGCTGAGACGCCCGAGGACGTCAGTCACGCCAACGTCAACCCCCAGCAGCAGAACATGCCCCGTCCGGCAGGCATGCACCCTGGTTACATGACGAACGAGCAGCAGCAGCAGATGGCCTACTATCAGAATCTCCAGCAGCAGCAGCAAGCAGGACAACAATATCCCGGCATGCCTGTAGGCAATCGGATGCCCCCTCAGCACCAGCCCACCGCATAAGCTGTGTCTTTGAGTCCTTCCTGCCGCGCGCTCTAAGGAACCTGAGGAGTCTAGGCAGGCTGTTCGCATCTTCGTCAATCTCCAGCTCGCGCAACTCTTGCTCCTCCACGGCCTTTATTGATACCCAGATGATTTGTTCCCACCCATTTGGCACACTTCCGAAATCCAAATCAAGACAAAAGAAAAAGGTGAAAAATTCCGGTCTACACTGTATGCCAGAAATCAATCCAGAAACTGAAGAGAAGGGATGATTCCAATGTCTTCTTCCATACTCTGTATATCGTCGAGCCCGTTGGTGCTGCATGCAATTCGAGCCGCGCTGATTTCAGCATTGGCAAGATAGCGTCTGCTATATTTGCCCTGTTTCACCATAAATACCAATCAGCCTATAAACCAGAAAAAAAATCCCCCAATCGAGAAACAGAAAACAAACCAAAGGCCAGAATGGATGATCAAATCATGAAGGATGCATTCGAGATCTGGGAGGGCTCCCAGGCAACCAATTGATTTCTTTCCTGTTTTCCATTCATTTTACTAATGTCTTTCCTAGATACATGCTGGGAAGTGGCGGTGTTTCTGGTGCTTTCTTCCCTTTCTTTTCTCTTTGTCTTGTTGAACTTCTTTTCTTTTGCGGGCGAAGTGGTTTACTTGTTACTCTGACTGTGAAATGTGTGTATGCGCGCCTATATGTGTCCTTATCATAAATTGTCATTTCCTCTTCACCCTTTCCACCGTGCAGTGACTCAATTCTCGTTCCTACTTTCTTTGCTTCCTCTTTCTGGAGGCCAATGCCATGTATGATCACTCCTTGATATTTTTCAGTATCGTGATGAGTTGGCTAAGATTGTCGAGTATTGTGATGAGTAGCGTATGGTACTGCGTAGGGTCGCGGTCACCTTTCCTGTCACATGGAACTGGGAATGAAAACAAGGGGCACTGGCAGCTGCATGTTTTGGCAACTGCTCCGTAGTGTCGTGCAGTTCCCGTGCCCAGGTCTCTCCTATGATGTCAGATGGTGGTGCTGCTGATATGATATCAGGGTCCCCGGAAACTGTGGCCACCCGCCGCAACACCCACACACTGGACACGATACAAGCTATGAGAAGGTGAAGAGGACTGATGAAGGGTTATTTCTTCTCTAGTATATACTGTGTATTTGATCTTCAAGGTTACTGTTACGCTAATCGGAATAACATCATTGACAAAACGGCATCGTGAACTAGACGTTTCTACTGGCGCCTCTCACTCTCTCCCTTTCTTTCTCCCTCTCTCGTATTATAGTTACGGCAGTATACGCAACAGCTATAGATTCCTGATTGGTGATATGTGCTTGTGTGTTGGTCTCCCCCGGGATGGGTTCACGTATGTGAGGTGAGTTGAGGGGAACTTGTTGCCTCCTCCGTTTCCAATCAGGGAATGCAGTCATTGTGCTGGCCCGTTGGTGGTGGTGTTGTGGGCAATAGGGCGGGGTTTTGGTATTAGGTGCTGAGGAGGTCCGACGCTGGGGTTCACTCCCTGAAAGGAAGGAAGGAATAGAGCTTCAAGTCAGTCAGGATGATTAGAGTGGCGTTACTGTAGAGCATTCATTTCTTTTTTGGGGCTTGGGTCGATGCGTGGGTGTTTACTGCTTGTGCTGTGAAGGAATTTGTTAATCGTTAATGAGGGTAGATGTGAGGATGTGGTGGTTAGGGGGATTGCGTTTTGCGGATTCTGTAGATATAGCTGAGACAGGAAGATTGTTGCGGTTCCCAAACGATTATGATGGCCTTGGCTGGGTTGGTCTACGAGACTAAGTATGAGTAATGGGTGCAGGATGCATTCAACTTGCTCACACCCAGAGCGAAAGTGTTGTGGTTCAAGATGTGTATTGGCGGTATACTCTGATAAGCTAGGTCTGATATGGTAGGTATAGAATGTATGGATTGTTGTACATTAAGTGATAAGGCTCGGCTGGTCTACTGATCAAGGCATATATGGGTGCTGTCCTGGCCAGTGGAGTTCTATCAAAGGAGAGTAAGAAGGCGAAAAGAAAGACCACTATCCGAGAGGGTTATCCGGGTGAGCCTCGAGGTCTGGTTCATGGTCAGACCGCTGGGCCCGGCTGGACGTCCAATGGGTGAGGGTCTGTAAGCTTGACCACGCCTGGCGCAGAGCTCTCCTCGGACCTGCGAGGATGACACCGCCCTCATTTCCACCTTCAGTGAATGCACCGGGGGATTGGCGGGAGGAGTTATGGCGACGGTGGTCGGGAGAGACGAGGCTGTCGCTTCGTTCCTCGTGCGTGCCGTATCCAGACGTCCGAGCACCAGCCCCCTGCTGATGAAGGAGAAGCTGGCCATTTTCGGAGGCGGGAGCGGATGTTCGCCTTCGTTTCTGGCGGTTGTAAATTGAGTAGGATTTTCTGCGCTGATTCCAGGTTTGCGGCTGACCCACAGGATTGGTGCTGGAGCGCCGTGGTCCACGGAGCAGACTGTCTCGCAGGATGGTTGTGCCACTCCGAATTCGCGGTCGTGATGAAAATGGGCCAGCCGAGGCGCGTTTGTCTTGACCCGGCCGTAAGGCAAATGCCGCGTATTCGTTGTCCGAATCATCGAGCTCGGCCCAGATGGAAGCAGGATCCACGTCCGGCGTCGAATCCCGATGGTTCAATGGTGCGTGTAACAGAGGAAGGCTGGGAGCCCTTTGGTGCGGGGTGCGGCGAGGCAGATGAGCTGTCTGTAACAGTGGCTCCCGCTCCGATCCTTCTTCGCCGTCCAGTCCCAAGCCAATGGGTGATTGCGGAAGCTCCTCAAGAACAGCCATCCCTGGACCCAGCCCGGTCTGCGTTGGCCCGCCCACGGCCACAGCGGCGTGGCTGTCAATATCTTCTAGACGCCACGAGAGACAGAGCACTCCACTCAGGAGGACAATAGTTCCCAGCGCGATTAGTCCAGCATGGAAGCCTGCCAGCTGGGACATTTGTTCGAAATAGACCAAACCATCTATGATAGCAATAATGTTATAAATGCAGAAGACAAAGGGATACAGGATGCTGGTACTGCACAGTTTCAACCCTCGATGCAAGTAAAAGAGCTGAGATAGAGCAAGCACTATCATTGCCAGCAAGATGACCCATGATTGCCAGCGGTTGAACTGATTGACGCGATCCACAACCGTGCGAACCAACAGCTCGACAGCCGACTTCGCAAGCAAAAGAGTGTGTGCGGAGAGGATCCCGCTGATCATGCCAAAGGATAGTCCGCGTATGAGACGAACACGCCCCGGGGACACTTGCAGTGCCCTGTAGGAAGCACGCGGCCCCGTATGCTTGGACCGAGATGGTGATGTAAGAAATTCGAGCAGCCGGGAGCCTGCATAGATAGCCAGCACCATCAGAGCAGTACCTGCCATCCAGAGTACAAAGTTTCGACGCTGCAAGAGCTCCAGGAGTTGATCAAGCGTATGCGCCGGCTCTCCCACGGCACCAAATAACGCGATGAGCAATGCACCGATGCAGACCAGAAGTGTGCCCACCAGGGAGTATCTTGTAAACGCTTCACCGAGGATCAGAGTGGCGAAGACGGTATTGAAAACGAGGCCGGACTACGGTGCGAGTATTAGTGAAGCTCAACCAGTATGATTCTAGGGCAGGAGACTGACTGCTTGAAGTGTGGAGAGTACGGGCAGCGGAAGGGTTGTGATCTGAATCGTACTGCCAACAATGTTCGCAACAACGAACATGAGCATACCCAGCTAGAGGAGCGCATTGTTAGCCGACTGTAAGGCATCTGGAACGAGTATATACACTGCGCACCTGCCATCTTCGACGTTTGTAGGGTGGTCGGCGTAAATCGTACGGATGTTTTTCGTCCTCGAGAATGTGCGACTTGCGTTGGAGGGTCAGTCCGATCGCCTGGAGACTGGTCGAGATCAACCCGACAATGACTCCGACCTAGCAGCGCAATGGGAATTAGCTTGATAGCCGACCGCGGGAATCCGCTCAGTGACTGACCGCGACGCTACCCTGAGGTGACAGGTCACCGAGTTTGCCCATTGCGAAGAATGTCCACATGCATTGGATGCTGAGCGGGGAACGAGAGACCAGGCACACACATCAGACGGGGTAGGGACAAGCTAGCAGTCCAGACTCCATTGTCTGACGGAGAAGAACGGGGGGGGGGGTAAGGACAGACGAGAAATTTAGGTTCTTATCAAGGTGAAGAGCAAGGAGCGAAGGGTTGTTGTTTTGAAGAAGGGGAGTAGGGGAGAGTAACTTGAGGCGGAGAGAGAAAGTAGAGCAGTACTGCGAGTACTGCGTAGCGTAGTTCAGAAGAGAGCCGCCAAGCTGCGATCCGATCAGCAGGTTCCGCCAAGTGCAACGTTTCCCTCTGCTAAATTGTCTCCCTCCATTCCCCCTTCCCTGCCCCTCTTCCCGATCCGTTTACTAGGGAAAATACATTTCGATACTCTACGACGACCAGGTGAGTCTTTTCCTGCTGCGTGGTAGTTCATCCTGACCCTACTCGAGATATTGTTGTTGGGGGGTTTACTTGTTGTCTCGGCGGGAGTTGCTATCAATGACAATCCGGCTGACGTTGGTCTCTCTCTGTTAACTAATGCTCCACCCAGAAGCACACTCTCCTCCGCATCGGGAAGCTCGAACGGCCCTCAACATACCTACCTACCTACCTTCCGATATCCTATCCCACCCATTCTCCGGCCTCTACTTCTTTCCCTCAGTCTAGCGAGAACTTTACAACAAATACACCGTCGCAATGTCGCAAAGTCACGCTCTTTCCGATGACCAGGTACGCAGCCCCATCCTCGTTGCTCCCCCTCCTCTCCGCCACGGAGGCATCTCGGGCACCACTTTCTTCTCCCCCTCAGACTGACACCCCCGTCACCTCCAAAACAGGTCGCGGGCGAGCTCCGCAAGATGACGGCCTTCATCCGCCAGGAAGCGGTGGAGAAGGCCCGTGAGATCCAATTGAAGGCCGACGAGGAGTTCGCCATCGAGAAGTCGAAGCTGGTCCGCCAGGAGACCGCCGCCATCGACACCCAGTACGAGAAGAAGTTCAAGCAGGCCGCCATGTCCCAACAGATCACCCGCTCCACCCTCGCCAACCGCACCCGGCTGCGCGTTCTCTCCGCTCGCCAGGAGCTCCTCGACGAGCTGTTCCAGCAGGCCCGCGAGCAGATCTCCGGCATCGCCGCCAAGGACGCCGACAAGTACCAGACTGTGCTGAAGGGCCTGATCCTCGAGGGTCTGTACGCCTTGAACGAAGAGAAGGTTGCCGTGCGGTCGCGCAAGCAGGACTTTGAGACCGTCAAGAAGTCGATCGGGGAGGCGGAGAAAGAGTTCCAGGAGAAGGTCGGCAAGGAGGTCACTGTCGAACTGGATGAGGAGGAGACTTTGCCGGAAGGATCGTGAGTGTCCCCTCATTCCTCCTATGCTACGTTTGAGGGGAGTAATTCTTTGACTAATATCTGATACGATAAATAGTGCTGGTGGTGTCGTGATCGTTGGCGGCCAGGGCAAGATCGAGATCAGCAACACCTTCGAGGAGCGACTGCGCCTCCTGGAAATTGACGCCCTTCCCGCCGTTCGAGAGACACTCTTCGGAAAGAACATTAACCGTAGGTTCTATGATTAGGGTGTTGGAGCTTTTCAATTGGAAACCCGCATTAGAAACAACTGATCTTACTGTATTTCGCCCCCATTGCGCACCACAACACCCCTTGTATCTATTTCTGCTCCTTCGCTGAAGATCGTTCTAGCTCTGTATACAGGCCCTCACTCTTCGTCTTTTTGTTTTTCGTGTCTGTCTGGAGTTCAATTCGAGCCGAATGATGATTTACGCTTCCCCCCGTCTCTTGTGCTCTCTAGGTGCTATAGAACTGGTGTGATAACTGCGATAATGCCTCGTACTCCGATAAAGGCACTCATAGGCGCTAAAGGAGAGTTGAAAGTTGATTCTTCTTGCAAACATCTAAATTTAAGAATGATTCCAGGTCGACTGTATGTATATACATCAAGGAACGAGCAATGGATTCTGGTGTGATGTGCTTTGACCACATTCTATCATTCGAAGCGCCTAGTCCATTAAGATCATCACCTAGGTCGCGACCATACCGATATTCATTTCCTGGAGATTTAAATCTCACGAAGAAAAGGTAGAGCGGTGGGCTCAGAACAAGTGACCAACGCTTATAACCTGATATTGATGGCTCCAGGAGGTTTAGAGAATCCCCCGCAAATGCTGATACCTGATCTCGGCTGCGCCATGGCCTAGCTTGAAGCCATACCAGGATCCCACTGCTGCAGGGGCGACGGAACCGCTGTGAATGTTCCTGCTGAGGATGCCCTCATGCAACCACAGATGCCGAGGTGCGTACAGCGGGAGTAGGAGCCATGCAACAGCGCAAGAAGCTGATCTAACTCGTCAAGAGAGCGCCGAAGTATTTATGTATACTGGAGTCCTAAGTCAGGGTAATGGCTCAGCGTTTGTGGACATGCTCTGAGTGGTAGCCTCTGGGTTAATGCACTGTGTGATGCTGCACCGTACCTCATTGACATTCCGGGTTGAAACAGAGTCAATCAAGCCGCAGCAGGGTTCTGTAGCCACTCCGGATGACATGAGCTAGTGTTTGACGACTTGGACATGTTATCGGGAAACTGCATGAGAAGACTTCTCCGGAATCTGCGCGCGAAACTTCATTAATCCACTGAATGCAACCTTCATGATCACCAAAGAAAGAGGACGATATATTATTTCCTTCATCGTGGAGGAACCTCGTGTTGTCGAATTGGTATCTCCGTACCAGCGCTTGCTTTGATTTGAGGGTAGAAACCTTTGAAGGCCTTGCGGTCATAGTCGCGGGCTTCAATGGTGCCGTAGATCGACTTCTTCGGACGTGGCTTTGTCCTTACGCTGTAGACTATACGGTAGTGCAGGGTCTCGAGAGCCTCCTTGGCCAGTGTGCGCTTGAGATGGGATGCACCAGCGTCCTCGATTGAGGTGAAGATCTTTTTGAGACGGTCAGCAACCACATCAACCCGAGCATTGAACGCCTTTTCCGCTTCTCTGTCCGCGAACTCTGCTTGACACCGCCCTGAATCAATAGCGATGCTGAGAAGTGAGGTGATGGCCAGAAGCTCCCCATAATCATACTCGGGCTTATCTTTCCCCTTGTACTTTTTGATATCGAATATATCTCGTTTGAGAATGTCTGTGATTCGTGTCAAGCTGAGCAGCTGGTCCAGTGGCTCACGCAGGGGCGATGGGTTGTCGATGAGGAAAGACACGGCTAATCGACAACGAAGTGTCGCAATCCAATCGGCTTCTGGCAATATGTGCTTGAGAAGGCGGCTATGAAATGAAGCGTCTTTGAAAGTGCTGAGTGTAGTTGTGCAGATACGATGCATCTAACAATGTCAGCGGTGCAAGGTTCCCTACTCGGTTCCGAGCTTACCAGGTCGTCCACTGTCTCCTCCGAAGCGCTCTCGAGGACGGTAATTATAGCTCTCTCAATCGACGAGCTGATAGTGGCAACGTTTGTGAGGGTCACATCGAGGGTCAGTCGGAAAAGTACGTTGAGCAAGTATTCTCGGGTGTCGTCGGCGAATCTATGGATCAATTAGCATTCCTTGTGGAGAAACATGCTCATGAGAACCTACAAATCAGCCGCGCCACAGATCAGATCTAGAACAGACAAGACCAAGCTTTGGTGTTGAGAAATAGCTTGTGGATAATCTGTCATGGCTTAACATCCATCGAAGTCCACATTCATGTTTCTTGGCCTCACCCTTGGGATCCACATCTGGAAGGATCGGTTCATTAACAGCCAGCGCATTTGGAACCGCTCCCAGCCTTTCAAAAAGCATGCGAAAGTCATCTGGCCTGATGAGCGCTTTGATATGTTGGGCATTGGTATTCTGCCATCGAGCAGTCAGTTGACAAGGTAAGGATGACAGCATGTATGGACGTCTTCACCTTGATAGCCCGGCAGTAAGCATGTCTGATATTGTCCTGTGGCTCCATGGGTACTGGAGACGATTAGCACTGCGACAAGCTTCGAGGCCGCGAAAGCACTCACTGGAATGAAAAATCCATGAGATCACCTTGTCCGGCAAGAATGACCTCGACAGGGCAAAATCCACAATACCCGAATGGAACGCCCGCTCTCTCGAGTGGTTCGCTGCTAAAGGTGAGCATTGACGTTGTAGGGTCACTAAGGTGATTAGAGAAACACATACCTTTTAACGATCTCAGGTACGATGTGGGCTTGATACACTCTGCTGGAAACTCGAGGGTCGGAGGTAACTCTTCCTTGAACTCAAAGAAGTGCCAGGCCTTAGCTGGGTCGAACGCATCTGTTCTCCGTAGTGCATGGAGTAGGCGTTGCATGTCCATCTCATCCTCGCCGTCGCCCAACGCTGATGTTAGAATGCCTTCGTGTAGCTGTCCCTTCCGATGGACGGGTTCCTTAGCCGCTTTGTCGAAGGACTCCCTCAATTTTGCGATACCTGCCTCAGTCTCCTGATCATCAACCGCAGCTATGACAAGAGAGTCAAGGGTATTCTTGTACGTTGGAGCAGGCTTTTCTAGACGGGTGAGCATAGAGGTCTTCGCCGATGTTGTACGGTCAGATCGCGCAAGTTCTGAAGCAAGTGGAGAGTGATTGGTGTTTGCAAATTTCATGAATAGGTCTGCCGGAGACTCTAATGAGCCTATGGAGTCGGTGTCTTCTCCGTCAGAGCCCATCACGACCTCTTTACCGTCTTTGACAATACGCTGCGAAGAATTGAAGCTCGAGCCAGGCAATGGAATCTTGGGTGGTGAGAAGTCCTCATCTTGAGTCCCATGCTTGACCTCATCTTCGATAGAAGGTGTCGGTGAACCAGGTGGTTCCTGCTTTGTTCTCACTGGAGATGAGGAGTCGTTTCTGGAGAAGAAGGATGACGATACTTCCGTGAGGGGAGAAGATTGTGGAGGAACGGGACTAGGTTCTTTGGCCGGAGGCTCTTGTCGAGCATCCTGATAACTTTCAGTCGTCGCAGCAAATGACGGACGTTGGAAGTAATCGTTGATGCGTCGCATGCTGGGCAGGCTGATCTGAAGGGCACTGAGACACTGTCAAGAATGGGCCCGCACATGCATGCTTTGTCCAGTTTAGATCTCCGCATCCTACGGGAACACGTCGGGCGCGTCCTGCCATTCGCGAAGTCACATGATAATAGGGAAGTACGGAGTGCTCATTAAGTTTATGGATGTTTTGGCAACCAAGAAGAGAAAATAATGAACCCCCCCCCAAGCTGTATTTTCTTAGTTACCGGCTCCAACACATCTTCGCCAAAACCGGATTTGCTTACAGGCACCGCCCCATCGTTTGCTGGACCCCCCCATCTTCAACTGTTTAATTTATTTTGCTGGTGTCGCTCATATTGGGACGATGCGTCAGCTTTCCCCATACACCGCGACCGTTGTAGGGGCTGCAGTGGCACAATATCCAGATAAATGATGTGGGGGAAAGATTCCTTCCGATGTTCCCAATTTCCCAGGGCAAAAGATTATTACGGGCTTTATTACTTTCTTCAATTTTTGCCCTTTTACTTTTTCTGAAAGATCCTACAGGCAGTCAGGCAACACTACTCCGTAGAGAATACGGATTTCTTTCACACGTCAACATTCCACCAATCACAGTGGTTATCCAGCGCATATCGTGATATCCCCTCTTCCAAAAGCCTTTAGCATCTCTTTGTTCTTTCCGACCCCAGCAGAGCCTGCTAGTCAGCATGCGCTTTTGATGATGGGGCTAAAGAAGATCTGGGAAGAAGTGGTCAAGTCTCAATTCACAATTTTTTCAACGAGGTAAAATAACAGGTGAACTATTGGTACGGAGTACACTTCATATTCCTAGCTTAGAATCCTTCTTGTCTGATCGTCCTCGGATGTGGCCCAGGGGCTGGGAAGCCATGCAGATCTCAGGGCTAGTTACGCCATGCCGATTATACTGCTGGGCCCGAACTGCATAGCCTACAACTTTCGTCTCCACACGGGTTCGTGGCCGATCTATCCAGTTGGTGTCATATTCCTTCCCTCCCGCAGGACACCAACCAGACTCCCCGTCTCCGTTGTCAGCTCCAGACGGCGTTGAAGTCTCACGGGACTTGTCGAAGGAGAGGTGTACTGTAGTTACCTCTCGACTAGGCAGACTTGGTTAGTAACTTAGGTCTGCTATGTTACAGAAGGAAGGTGTAGGCGCCTGCGAGAGAGTGTACGACCGGATAAACAGTCTGCAGGTTGATTATGAATGACAGTACGAAGTAGGAAGTACATCTCATTCTTTCCGAAAAGGAAAATGTACCTGTACCCGCCATAGTACAAGGATACCATCTTTTTTATCTACTTCTGGATACCAAAACACCCACCGACAAGGAGAGCGCATCGACGTCTTCCAAATTTATGGAAGAGTTCCGTTGGTTCAATAGTACTCGAAATGCTGTCTGAAGCCGGCCATTGCAAGCCAGCACTATACTTGGATGGAATTGAACGATCTGTCGATCTTCATGGTCCATTTACAGAGCACCACCATCGAAAGTGCTTGTTTCACACAAATCAATGCTCGAAGACCGACAGTAGATCTCAAGAGACATCAGCCAGTATGAAGGCTGAAAAGAAGAAAGCGACGTAGAATGGCTCGAAGTCTCGCCTCCCCAGAAGAACGATTTTAGCACTACAAGTCGTGCAGTGAATGCTGACTACGCAGAGATGATGCCTGAATGCAGCACTTCCCTATTGGTAAGCAGTGCACTGCTGTTGAGTCGGCGTCGGCTCGAACCGCAAGGGCGAACTTGCTTAGGGACACGGACCCTGGCACTTCCACATATCTAGCAAACCGGAGTCTGGGAAGACGACGATGATGCATTATATCTCCTGGTCGGCCGATGCCGACCTTCACCTCCAGAAGTGGTGTAAGGCCAAGCGCTTAGTGCCTAGAAAGGATTTTCTTCCGGGAGGCAAGGATGAATTATTCTCTCGAGAAACGTGACTGGGTGCCTGATGAAAAGGAACGTTATGGACTGCTCCGTGTTATTTTCTACTCAGTTAACAATGCGCATCAAAGATTTAACGGCATCTTCTCTTGGGGCAGTGAGATTCCGTTTCGTGCGATTTCAGCGAAGAGCCTTGTTCTATCGAAGATGATGATGTGCTCGCGGTTTGGAAGAGACTCCTTGAGCAAGACAGTAGTTACGCTGACCACAAGTTTGTGCTGTTTATTGACGGTCTTAATGACTTCAAGGAAGACCCGCCTGAGCTGCTTGATTACCTTAAGCAGTGCGTGTCTGCCAGGCCATTGGATGTCAAGATCCGCATAACAAGCCGTGAGGAGGCCGAGTTTCAAGAAAGCCTGAGGTCAAATCCTGGCCTTGTTATGCATGAGGTAAATCGACCCGGAAATGCTATGGTGCATTCGCCTGGAAATAGTACATGGGCATATAGAATTATTTTCCAGGTTATCCACGGTGGAGCATAGGGACAAACTGAGAAGACTCCTCCCGGTCAAGGTCCATGATTCGTCTCTCCGCCTGGTTAAGATGCTGTCATACGTTACAAGGGCATGCAAGACAAGAGCCGCCTGAACACGTTTATAAGAGATCGGGAAATCTCCGGGATGGACGAGGATGAGAACCTCAAATGGGGTTGGTAAGTGACAAGCATCGTCGAAACCACCTGGAAGCGCTCGATCCCTACGGACCGCACGCCCGATAATGGATTGACCCTGACTCCGTCGCTTTCCACGGTCTCTACTCAGGTAGTCCAATATCTTAATCAATTGTTGTAGAGATAAGAGAGTCAAGGAGACTCCCCAGGCTCCTCATACCAAGTAGATTTGATTGTAAACACCACATTGATGTCAAACACCTTATAAAAAAAATCTGGCCGGCGACTCACATTCTCTCATTAGTGATCTAAAATACTCTTAGTAGTCAACCGAGGCTATGGAGGTCAGGTTCAAGCCTCTCAATTCGGAACGATGTGCAGTGCCGGCAGAAGAGCACAGGCGAAATTGTCAAATATTGTTGCTTGAACGTGTGCAAGGTGACCTTCTTTTTAATCCATTTAGATGAAATCGATTTAGTGCAGAAGCACAGGGCCCGGTTCATTTTGTGCATCAACTCCTCTAACATGAAACGGATGACTGAAACACCTCCCACCGGGTACAGTACGACGACCCCCTGATGATCGACTCGGGACTAGCCCCCATGAAAAGGAATGACAATGCCAATGCAAGTTCGCGGAACTAGATCATCTACGCGCAATATTTATGGGACCTTACCAAACTGTATCGGGCGGAGATTTACTCTCCATTGGCCTTGCCCAGCAGCCAAGACTGGGCGACAAAATACAGAGAGAAACGAAAGAAGGAGAGGTGAGAAAAAGGGGTTGATGGAGAGGCGTGCAAGGTGGATAGCGATCGAATCCGGCAGCCGGATATAAGAATGGGGAGAGAGGGTGGTGGGGGGTGTCGCTGATAGGCTATGAGCACATACGGAGTTAATGAATGCAACATTTGCATAGAATCCACCAGTGAGCTGACTGTTGGACTGACTTTGTGTCTGGCAAAACTAGCTCTACGGAAAAAGGATGTGGTACCTCGCGCTCCGTTGGAAGGTGGAGCAAGTATCCATGGAGCCTGGCATCAGCATGTGCCGTCCCGGACGGCCTTAGGCTGTTTCAGGCTCGGCGCGACTAAGCCCAGACGGCCAGTCGTCCCTGGGAGTTCCAGAAAGCTCGGTAATTTCATAAGTACACTTCCTTCAGTAGGTAATGATAAGGTAATAAGATACATTCAACCGCCCCCTGCCATCGTTAATGATTTATGGGTGAAAAAAATAAAAATAAAAATACATAAGCAAGCAAGCATAGCTTCCAGAAATGCTTGAGCAAATAATATCGTCCGGGAGACTCATTGACTTTCCTTTCACATTCCTCGGCGATCCATCTATGATGCATAATTCGCCCGTACTGATAATATGCATGGCAGCATGGCTGCCGCAGTGCATGGACGCAGGGGCGCCCGATTGGAAAAGAAAGCTATTTCAGCGCCATTGGCCAGAATAGTGGATTAGTGCCTTGAGAGAAGCGTGAGATCTTTGGGGCTGTGACAGCGAATTACTCCGTAAATTAGGCTTGAATGCACGATTCGAGGATGATAGGTATGTATCGTGTAGTGAGCATAACTATGTCAAAAGAATGAGCATCGCAGGTGTGCGTGTGATGGCGCGACTTGCCACGGTTTAAAGCGAGGCTGGGTCGAGTTGTTGCCGCTGCACCTCCCTCTCGCTGTACGGACTATAGGATATGTATGCACCACCAGCCGATGGAATCTGGGGATCAGCAAGCCCTCAGCAATCGAGATTCCTGAGGCCCGCCTTAGCTGAATTGGGCCATCACAATCAATAACCATTCGTAGCGAGGTCAGCGGTAGATCTGAATGCTGGGTTGGTTTACTCCGTAACCCGGGACAGTTTGGAGCTCTTTTGTCTCCAGATAGTCGCAGGGGGTAGAGCACAAGATTGTATAATACTTGTCATTTACTTAGTTGACTAATTAACCAACTACCCAGCTTACCAAGCACGACTGTATCTGGCCGACTCCTTTCTGGGTGCTTGTAGTAGCAATCAAAACGTTCCAGTGACTTTTACGAAAACTCTGGCATTCTCTGAGTTCAATAAATACAGTGTACTCGAACCGACCCAATCTGACAGCCCGCTTACACAGTAGTGCTGCATTCGCGTTACACCCTAGTAATCAAATACCGTACCTTTCGTCTCCCGACTCGCCGCCCCCCACTCCCCCCAAAGCCCATCCGCGCCCCCCCCCAAAAAGGTCCCGTCGGCTGGGAGTTCCATGAGAAGGGAGACTAGGACCGAACGCTGTCCGGAACACTGTCCGGAACGCTGTCCTTAAGCCTCCTCTTCTTGACTCTTTCTTCCGCAAAGGCCGGTTCTTCTAAATCCACTTGGGGTTTTATTGATTCTTTAGTCCTTTTTTCTGCACCGTTTTATTCATTCGTTCATGGCACTCGGATGGCCCATCGTGGGTGATCTTGGTCTTTCTCTTCCCCCCCTCCGCTCGTTTCGCCTTCCTGACTGCCATTACCCTGTGTTTTGAGTCTCCTTCTGTGTTATTGACACTCCTTACCTTCTCGCATCGCCGTGACGTACTCGAGCGCCCATCCTATCCGATCCCATCGCTGATAATCGCAATATATTGATTCAAATCAATCCTATTCTGACTTCTTACCCTTACGATTTGACTCCTTCCGATATAAACAAATCGACTTGCGAGCGGGCTGCGCTACCGGGGTGAGCTCGTTGATGCGGATGCCCTTCTTCTACCGTTCCGAAAGACACACTGCCCATTTTATGCCCACAACAGGGGCGCAAGTAGCCTAAATGGCTTCTGTCGATTTAGGCGCAGATACCGTTGAGCCTGACAACGAGGCTCGAGAGATCAACAGTAATGTCTCCAAACCAACGAAGCGCCAACGATGGGCAACACAAAGAATTGCCGGCTCAGGTGGAGCGCGAAAACGAGTCTCGATAATAGATCGACTACAAAAGCGTCCAGAAGTCAAAGAAGAGAAGCAACAACCAGCCTCAGTCGACCTACCTCCTCCATTACCCCAGAGTCCTGCAAGTCCAACGGCCCCGAGTAATCGAACCATCTACTTCAACATCCCCATTCCTGAGAGCGAGAGAGATGAAGATGGACGGCCAAAGATGGAATATCCTAGGAACAAAATTCGCACGGCCAAGTATACGCCCTTGTCATTTGTGCCGAAGAATCTTTGGTTTCAATTCCAGAACATCGCCAATATCTATTTCCTCTTCATCATTATTCTTGGTGTATGTTCCTGTCCTTCCTCCACGTCAGGGAAAACAAAAGGGACGCGCATTGCTCACACTCCACTAGTTCTTCTCCATTTTTGGAGTCTCTTCTCCAGCGGTGAACACTGTTCCTCTCATCGTCATTGTCGTGCTCACATCGCTTAAAGATGCCATTGAAGATTTTCGACGTACCATCCTGGACAACGAACTCAACAACTCGCCTGTATATCGTCTCATAGACTGGACCAATGTGAACTCGACCGAGGACCAGATCTCATTGTGGCGCCGATTCAAGAAAGCCTGCACGAGAGCCACCGTCTCTACGTATAGAGCAATGAAGGCTCTGGTCCAACAGAAGAGTACTCCTCAACCGGCGAACGACAATCGACGCGCAACCTTTATGTCCACAATATCCCCGCGTGCCTCCTTTGCTTCTCAGCGTGACGAGGAGGCAATTCAGATGACCCAAGTCCGAAACTTCACTCCCGATGCCCGACCAGATTGGCCTCTTCCGGCTGCGGATACAGACTACCGATCTATGCCAGACAAAGCTGCGGGATATCAGACAGCGGATCAAGATGCTTCTGCGACTCTTCCAAGGAAAGGCGGAAGTATCGTCGATATGTCGAAGCAAACCCTCGGAAAAGCAAGATTCAAGCGTGATTACTGGAAGAATATCCAGGTCGGAGACTACGTCCGGCTATATAATGGAGATCAAGTACCTGCCGATATTGTCTTACTGTCAACGTCCGATCCCGATGGTGCTTGCTACGTGGAAACGAAGAGCTTGGATGGAGAGACTAACCTCAAAGTTCGACAAGCGCTCCACTGTGGCCGTGAGGTTCGACATGCCCGAGATTGTGAAAAGGCAGAATTTGTGATCGATAGCGAGGCTCCACACCCTAATCTCTACGCCTACAATGGAGCTTTGCGCTGGGACCAGCGTGACCCAGATTATCCGGCTGCGCCTCGACGGGAGATGGTTGAACCTGTGACGATCAACAACCTACTTCTGCGGGGTTGCTCTCTGCGAAATACTGAGTGGGCTCTTGGTGTTGTTCTTTTCACCGGCGAGGAGACCAAGGTCATGCTGAATTCCGGAGTTACCCCGTCTAAACGACCAAGACTCGCCAAGGACCTGAATTGGAATGTTATCTATAACTTCGTTATACTGTTCGTCATGTGCCTCATTTGTGGAATCGCCAACGGAGCCGCTTGGGGTTCGCCTCAGAGGTCCCTGGATTATTTCGACTTTGGGTCTTACGGAAGCACCCCGGCTGTTACTGGTTTCATCACCTTTTGGGTCGCATTGATTCTGTTCCAAAATTTAGTTCCCATCTCACTCTATATCTCCCTGGAGATCGTTCGCACTATCCAGGCTCTCTTCATACATAGCGACGTCTTCATGTACTATGACAAACTTGGGATTTCGTGCATTCCCAAATCCTGGAACATTTCGGATGACGTTGGGCAAATCGAGTACATCTTCTCCGACAAAACAGGCACATTGACTCAAAACGTCATGGATTTCAAGAAATGTACGATCAATGGCGTGTCTTATGGTGAAGCCTTCACAGAAGCTCAAGTGGGTATCGTCCAAAGAGAAGGAGGCGATGCTGACGCGATGGCTGCGAATGCCCGAAAGAGGTTGGCCGCAGACACTGTGAGGATGGTCGACATGCTCCGAAAAATGTACGACAATCCTTATCTGCGCGACGAAAGCTTAACGTTCATCTCGCCGGACTTTGTTGCAGATCTGGATGGTCACTCTGGCGACGCTCAGAGGAGAGCAACGGAGCATTTTATGCTCACTCTTGCTGTATGCCATACTGTGATTACAGAGCATACTCCGGGAGATCCGCCTCAGATCGAGTTCCAAGCACAATCCCCTGATGAGGCTGCCTTGGTAAGCACTGCGAGAGACTGCGGCTTCACCGTCCTCGGTAGGTCAAACGACGACTTAATCGTGAATGTGCTGGGCGAGGAAAGGACATATACTGTTCTTAATACTCTGGAGTTTAACTCGACGAGAAAGCGCATGAGTGCGATCATTCGGATGCCCGATGGGACCATACGGCTTTTCTGCAAAGGTGCAGACAGTATTATTTATTCACGCTTAGCTCCGGGCAAGCAACAGGAGCTGCGCAAGAAAACTGCAGAGCACTTGGAGATGTTTGCTAGCGAAGGCCTCCGGACCCTGTGTGTCGCAGATCGTGAGCTTAGCGAAGAAGAATATTTGGCTTGGAGCAAGGAGCATGATCTAGCAGCTGCTGCGCTCACCGATCGCGAGGAAAAGCTCGAGGAAGTTGCAAGTAACATCGAGCAGAATCTTATGCTTATAGGTGGCACAGCAATTGAAGACAGACTTCAAGACGGCGTTCCAGACACCATCTCTCTACTTGCTGATGCCGGAATCAAGCTGTGGGTCTTGACTGGTGACAAAGTCGAGACAGCCATCAACATCGGCTTCTCATGCAATCTCTTGGACAACGATATGGAGCTCATTGTCTTCAACATTCCTAGCGACCAGCCGCAACGGGCGTCGCAAGAGCTCGACAAACAGCTAGAACGCTTCGGAATGACCGGATCCGATGAAGAGTTGATTGCTGCACGAGGCGACCATAGGCCACCCGCCGCAACGCATGCCGTTGTCGTCGATGGCGAAACTCTCAAATTGATGCTCGATGAAGACCTAAAGCAGCGCTTCCTCTTGCTGTGCAAGCAGTGCAAATCGGTCTTATGCTGTCGGGTGAGCCCTGCACAAAAGGCAGCAGTCGTTCGCATGGTGAAAAATGGACTAGATATCATGGCCCTCTCCATCGGAGACGGTGCCAATGATGTAGCCATGATTCAGGAAGCAGATGTTGGTGTCGGAATTATTGGTGAAGAAGGTAGACAGGCTGCCATGTCATCTGACTATGCCATTGGACAATTCCGCTTCTTGCAGCGTCTTGTTCTCGTTCACGGGAGGTATTCATACCGTCGCATGGCGGAAACCATCGCAAATTTCTTTTATAAGGTAAGGCGCACTCGTAGCTGAGTTGTCTCTATACACTGACGGTCTCTTCTGTCTAGAATTTGGTCTGGACCCTCGCGCTCTTCTGGTACTCCATCTATAATGATTACGATGGCTCGTACCTCTTTGATTACACTTACATTGTACTTGTCAACGTTGCTTTTACGTCTCTCCCTGTGATCCTGATGGGCATCTTCGACCAAGATGTTGATGACAAGGTGTCCTTAGCCGTGCCCCAGCTCTATATGAGAGGTATCGAGCGAAAAGAATGGTCGCAGCTCAAGTTCTGGTATGTCACCACATAATTCTTCTTGTTGCCGCCTATACTGATAAACAAACTCAGGCTTTATATGGCTGATGGCTTGTATCAGTCGATTATCTGCTTCTTCATGCCATACCTGCTTTACAGCCCTGCAACATTCGTGCATCACAATGGCCTGAATATCAATGACCGAACGCGTATGGGTGTCCTGGTTGGCACCAGCGCTGTTTTGGCAAGCAATGGATACATTTTGATGAATTCCTACCGATGGGATTGGCTGACAGTCATGATCAACGTCATCAGCTCCCTCCTTATCTTTCTCTGGACCGGAATTTACTCTTCACTCGAGGCTTCGACCACTTTCCTTCACGCCGGTCTCGAAGTTTACAGTGCGCTGTCATTCTGGGTTGTCCTATTGCTCACCGTCATGATATGCTTACTGCCTCGGTTCGCTGTGAAGTCCTTCCAGAAAGTTTTCTTTCCGCTTGATGTGGATATCATACGCGAGCAGGTCTCTCAAGGAAAGTTCAAGTTCTTGGACCAGTACGAGGCTTATGTTCCACCACGAGCAGCTGAAAAAGCGGCAGCAGCAGCTGTCGCTTTCAGCGACGAGTCATCGACTTCTTCAGATTTAGTGAAGCCGATTCAGCCAACTGTGAAGCACGATCCCTTTTCAGATGAACAGCAGATATTTTCACCGTCTTATCCCCCGACCATGCGCACGCACAAGTCACACACCAAGAATGGCAGCACTGGGACAATCTATGCCTCTAGTCTTGACACTACCGGACTACCTCATCCTCAGCCAGTGGACTATATTCATTACGCACCAGAGCGAACGCGACATTCATTTGATCGGGTACCACCAACGTTCGAGGTAAACCAGGACTACCATCAATCTGAATACCCCAGAATCCAAGAACCCGATAGCCCCCTCAAAGGCCCTCATGATCCTCCATTGCATGCGATTTGATACCACACAATTTACTCCGTACATATATCGATTCTCTTACATTTTCCGCTTCTGCTTTTTACAACAGCCGTGCTTCTGGAGGCGCCACAAGGCACTTTGTCGACTTCTCTGTCCATACGTTCAGTTTCTTCTGCTTTCATTGTCTAACGAGTAGATTACCCCATATTCCACGATAGACGGCGTTTTGATACCGCGGTTAAACATTCCGGCGCAATCGGCTTGCTTCACCTCCTCTTGACCACTGCGTTGTAATTTCGGCAGTGATGCAATGCAATTCTTCTTCAAAAACTTTCATCTACACCTGACCTGGGAGTCACAAACGCTTTGACCAGCTATTTCTCTCATCTGTTCTTCAACTTCGAGCACCTGAATCCTCTGTACAAAAAAGCGTCCTATTGCATACGTACTCAGTCGATCGCACCCCCTCGTTCTCTTATCTCTTTCTGCATTATTTTAATTGGAACATTTTCATGTACTTGTACCATTGAATGGTAATATGTACCTTGGAGTCGGCACGTGGGAATGACTATCATGTGAAGCTGGGCTATAGGTTCCGTTCAAATTTGAGATGAATGCTCGATGAGAATTATCTCCACACCATCCATTGGTTTTCATAGCAGTGTAAATGCCGCTCTTTTTTCCGCCTAAGTAAAGTGGCAAGCAGTTCTCCGAAGCTGATGTAAAAGTACCGTACTTTTCCGTCCGCCGCGGCTTTGCTACCCAGGTAATAGGTACCTACTATAGTTGGAATGCGCGTCTTCTAGGGCCGGCGGGCGCGTTAAGTGGGTGATCGGCAGAGCAGAATTCATCACCGCCTTCCATCCCAGCCAATGAAGTCCACAGAAGCGACTGCACCGATCATTCACTACGTTTTGTACCTGTTGAGGGAGTCACTTAGCAAGTCCGTCGACTTGAACCGGCCAATTTTCGATCAGGTCGGCCGTTGCTGAAAAACTGAGCAGGGAGAGACACCTCGTACTGGCTTGGAGACCTCGACTGTGTTTTCTTTTCTCATTTGCATGCCCCAATGTCATTTACTTATGACGCCTGATTCTTTACCACGCTCCCCTCCGAAACACCAGCTTCCCTCCTTTCATCGCACAGTAGCCATGCTTATACGCAAGGTTATTGTGGTCTGATTTTCCAATTTTCCATTACCCTAGGAGGCCATCTCCTCAGACTCCTTGCTTTCTGGTCCATTTTCAAATCACACTCGCTATGGAGGTCGTGGATGTTGTCGGGTTCGTCTTTACCTCATGAAACCGCCACCTACCCTTTACTGACGCTCTTCTGACCCATCGATTTGATTACAGAGAGTTGCAGGCGCTTCCCGACGCTATTCATATTTTGTGCCCAAGACAACATGACGACGATCACGCACGGTACGATGATCCCAGTCAGGTCGACGAGTCGGGAAAGACAGTGCAAGAAATAGTTACGGAGGCCAACACTCGCAAAGAGAAATTTCTGTCCTGCATGCGTATCCTGGCATATAATCAGGAAGGCTTGGAAGAACTACAATCCTGGATTTGGCGAAAATTGGACGATTCACTGGAGAAATGCGACTTCTGCATCAAGCAATATTATACGGGGAAGATCTGGCTGATGGAGCAGCTCAAAGAGAATTACGACGATGAGGATATTGAGAAGTTCTCGCGCATGCTTGACGAGTGGGATATCAAACGGATCACAAAGAACCTGGCCACAGCAACGGCACAGCTCAAGGAGGTTCCCCCTCAAGACATTGGGCTCCATGTGTTAGACCGGGCATCTTTGCTTTCAATCTTCGAGACTCTGAGCTGTGATGCCATGCTACGCAATGACGCTCTCCTACAGGAGTATTTCGACGAGCCATTTCGTTTGATCCAAACAAAGCGCAGCCTGAAGGTGTCTGACTACATCCCTGCTGTCACTCGTTTCCTATTCGAACCCAACCAGAATCGCAGCTTCTGGGCAATCCACTCCTGGATGCGCTATGCACGCCCTCCGACCGCTGAGGAATTCGACTGGGCAATCAAGGAAGGTCTTCTTGATGCACTAAGAACCGCATCTCAACAGCCTGCTCAGGTAGCAGTCATTCAGCGCCTGTGGCGTGGTATGCAACTCGTAGTGAAGAGACTGGACAAGGATCAGATCACCCATCATCTTCGCGCACTCGAGATTGATCCCTGTCGCCTCTCTGTGGATCACCTTGGTATCCCCACCCCGGGCCTACGCTTCTTACTTAACACGATTCAGATCTTCCTAGAAAAGGCACCGATTGATTTCTGGGATGCTATGCAGACGATCTCACCTCAGGCTCTCATTGAACTAGTGTTCTACAATCCCCAATTGGATGCGTTCCTGATGCAAGCTACTGAGGGTGAGCCGTTTGAGAAATCCGCCATGAAGGATATGTTGTCATGGATTAGTCCTTTCATGTCATCCCTCAAAGGCGCGCACCAGCCCTCAGCTTGCAGGTCCCTTGTCTACCAATTGCTTGATCGGCTACAAGATTCTCGATTACCAAATCTGGCCAGATATCATTGCTTCCATACGGGTCTGGTCATCCTACTTCATACTCTCCGCAGTTTCACCGATCATGAATCTTCAAGAGGCTCTGTGGCTCGCATTGTACTGTCTGAAACGCTAGGTGTTGTAAGCGCAAACATTGAGAGAATATTGCGGCCTCCCCAGTTTGCGGTTGAGCAGGGCCGCCAGCGAGAAATCTCGTCCTTGTGCATGGATGTCATCCGTAATACGCTTGCCTTGGAGTGCCAATCCCTAAAGAGTGACTATGAGGTTATTCTACACCAAAACACTCTTCAACATGGCGTCAGTACATACTCAGCTGCAATCTGGGATGCGGTCGTCAGACATCTCCACGAGGATAATTTGGCACTCTCGACCTCTGCTTTACTGGGCATATTGCCTCTGGTTGGCCTTGAAAAATTTCCCACGAAAGGAGAGTCAAGCCCGGAGAAAACACACTTCAATGTGATTTATGGTCATTTGACCAATTTGTCTTGTCAAATCATAGAGCGGCTTGCGGACTTCAAGCCCGAACATTTGAATGAGCTATTCAAGAGCCAGGACACCAGCAGTGCTTTGATTTCCGCTCTCTTCGCCGCTGATCTAGACACATACCAAGCTGCTGTGGATCTGATTAAGAACGTCAGTGGTCAATCCGCTCGAAGAGATGCAATCTCACATCTGCTGGAATCGTTCTTTACGACGACTATGTATGGATTGAGCTGGTCATTTCGACGTATTTCGAATATGCAGACGTTTGCTTCCGCACCCAGAATGTTGCATACGGGAACAGATATTGTCGATATTCTGTGCGATAGTCAGACAGGTATGCTGAGAACCCACAAATTGGCCGATCGACGGGAGATACTTTCTCTTCAAAAGCTATGGGAGTACCTATGGCAAGCATTGACTACGATCTTCGACTGCACCGAACAATGGCACCTTCGGGGTAATGATAAGGCGGTTATGTTGGAGTTTTGCCGTGACAGCATCCAATTTGCCGATCTTCTTTTTGACCAATATGGCGTTTTTCTCAGCGCTGCAGTCGATGCAGACCCGAGCTCAGAAAGTTCTGCGCGTGAGAATTTCCTCAGAGCCGCGACTACGACGATGAGCGCAATGGTGAAATGGCTTCGCTTAAAGGATGAGTATCTGGCGACAACTTTGGTTGGACTCGTCTCCAAGATCTTGCGACGGCTAGGGGAGCTCAGCGTCACGACTGTTAAACAGGATGCTCTGAGCTTCATCGAGGGCGTCGCAGTTAACTACACTGTGAAGACCATCTTGACGTTACGGGAGAAGGCGGAGCTTGTGCAGGCCTTGGAAGCCTACTACAAGAAACCCATCGTCACTGCATCGACAGCCAGCTTCAAAAAGCAGAGCATGATTACAGCCTTCGCGAAACCAGTTGATCCGACGGCGACACCTAGCCCTCCGAAGTCGGCTGATGAATTTGACGACAGTATTCCAGACGATGTTCTACTACAAATGTCACGCTCTGTCGAACTGAACAAGGAAAGACTTGCTGCAGAAGCCAGAAGGAAGGCAGAACGAGCTGCGAAGGCATTGCCCGCTATCCCCAAGCCAGCTCCAGCTCCATTGAAACCCAACGTATCTATTCAGGCTTTCCGTGAGAAGCGTGAGAGAGAGCGAGAGGAGAAGAAGAAACGTGACTTGGCGGCATTGGCCCGATTGAAGAGAAGCCAACCAGCAATTGGCGTTGCCGAACAAACCGCTGAGCAGGGCTCGGGCTTGCTTGGCCTTGGTGTCAAAGGCAAGGATCATAGCGTTCCTGCTGATAGTATGATGGTTTCTTCGGGGTCGGAGTCTGAATCTGAAAGTGAAGACGAGCTTGACAAGGAATTATTCGGTGCCAAGACACGCTCAAAGCCTGATGCCGTCAAGGCCTACGAGGAGAGCAAGCGAATGTCCTTGAAACAGCAAGGACCCGTAAAGAAGATCAAGCAGGTCCGGTCGGCCAAGGACATGAGAGCAAGACTGGCGCCTGATTTATCCTCTCTGCATCGCACAATTCTTGGCTGGGATTTCTTTGCCAACGGTGATCTTCCTCCGAATTCTGGACGAACGGATTACAGTTTGGTGTCAAACGCTTTCAGAGACCCTATTGAGTACCAGAGAACCTTCGAACCTCTTCTCATACTGGAAGCCTGGCAGGGATTCCAATCCTCAAAGGAAGAAGGATCATTCAAGCCCTTTGCCATTAAGGTAGCTACTAGATTATCGGTGGACTCCTTCGTCGAAGTGAATACTGCCGTGTCAGCTCTTGAGGCTAAAGACTTTGGTATAGGAGAGGCAGATATTGTACTGCTCTCCAAAGCCTCATCACCGACAGCGGATCAGTCTGCGCCTCACTGTCTTGCCCGAGTCTCTGGTATCAAGAGGAAGAAAGGTACTGTCGAGATATCTTACAGGGTCAACCCAGGCAATCCATTCATCAACACTCTTGGCCCTGGCGCTTCTATTTGGGGTGCTAAGATCACTTCTATGACTCCACTCGAGCGTGAATACGGTGCTCTCATGGCTCTCCAATATTACGATCTCTGTGAAGAGATTATCAAAGCAAAGCCATCACCTATTCTGAACTATTCAGATGCGAGCCTCAAACCGATTGCCGACAACTATAATGTCAATCCTGCGCAGGCCAGAGCCATCAAGTCTGCCCTGGACAATGACGCCTTCACTCTCATTCAAGGTCCTCCGGGTTCAGGAAAGACGAAGACTATCGTGGCCCTCGTGGGTGCTCTTTTGAGTGGCGCCCTTGGCACTCAAGGCGTAGCAATCTCACGACCCTTGGCCTCTAGTAATGCTAGAGGTGGAGGTCGGACCACAACGTCGAAGAAACTGCTTGTCTGCGCTCCCAGTAATGCTGCTGTGGATGAATTGGTCATGAGATTCAAAGATGGCGTGAAAACTATCAATGGCCGTCAAGAGAAGCTCTCCGTCATTCGTCTTGGAAGAAGCGATGCCATAAATGCCAACGTGCTGGACGTCACGTTGGATGAGCTCGTCAATGCTAGACTAAGCCAGACAAACAACAAAGATTCTGGTGAACGAGACATGCAGAAGATCTATATGGAACACAAGGCTGCTGATACGGCCTTCAAGGAGACGCGTGCTAAGATGGATCAATGCAGGGCTCAAGGCTTGCCCGTTCCCGAAGAGTTGGAAAGGGAGAATGAGCTCTACAAGAAAAGAAAGACTCAACTGAGCCAAGAAATCGACAATGCCAGAGACAAAAACCATTCGGCGGCGCGCGATGCTGATTTGAACCGAAGACGCATTCAGCAAGAGATTATCGACGGTGCACACGTCATCTGTGCCACGCTCAGCGGTAGTGGACATGAAATGTTCCAAAACCTGAGTATTGAGTTCGAGACAGTCGTCATTGATGAAGCAGCACAGTCGATTGAGCTGAGCGCTCTGATCCCTCTCAAGTATGGGTGTTCTAAATGTATTCTGGTCGGTGATCCCAAACAGTTGCCTCCTACTGTCCTTTCCAAGGTCGCTTCGAAGTTCCAGTATGAGCAGAGTCTCTTCGTCAGAATGCAAGCCAATAACCCTCGGGACGTGCATTTACTCGATATTCAGTACCGTATGCATCCGGAAATCAGTGCATATCCTAGCTCTGCATTCTACGACGGCAAGTTGCAAGACGGCCCCGATATGGCCCGCCTTCGCGCTCGCCCTTGGCATCAGAGCGAACTTCTTAGTCCGTACCGGTTCTTCGATGTGCAAGGACTTCATCAGAACGCTGTCAAAGGTCACTCTCTGATCAACATGGCTGAACTTCGTGTTGCGATGCAGCTGTACGAGCGTTTGTTAGCAGATTTCCGAGGCTACAACTTTGACGGCAAGATCGGCATCATTACTCCATACAAAGGTCAACTTCGCCAGCTTAAATCGTCATTCTCTGCGAGGTACGGCGAATCAATTTTGACCAAGATCGATTTCAACACTACCGATGCTTTCCAGGGTAGGGAAAGCGAGGTCATCATCTTTTCTTGTGTACGAGCCTCTAATAAAGGCATTGGTTTCTTGGCCGATATTCGTCGTATGAACGTCGGTCTGACACGTGCCAAGTCTTCCCTCTGGGTGCTTGGTAACTCACAGTCCCTGATCCAGGGTGAGTTCTGGAATGGATTGATCAAGGATGCCCGTCGAAGAAACGTGTACACAGACGGTGATGTTCTTTCAATCCTGCAGCGACCGCAATTCACAGGATATAAGAATGTTGAAATGGTGGATTCAGAAGCTGCAGAATCCGCTCCACTCTCTCGAGCGACGTCGGTTGGCTCTCTATCCCGACCTTCATCGGTCTCTCGGGACAAATCGGAGTCACCTTTCCCTGCATCAGCATCAGGGAAAGGTACCCCGCCGCCTACGCTTCCCGAAGGTCCATCTGGTGGTGGAAATGGACTGGATCAAACGCGCACATGTGGGATCTGTGGAAGCTATGATCACATGACCCACAACTGCGACAACAGCGATGCGAAAGAGGCAACCCGACGCACCTGTACAAGGTGTGGCGAGACCGGGCATACGCGTTTCCATTGCAAACAACAGCGTTGCATGGAATGTGGGCAGACTGGACATGTCGCCAACGAGTGCCGCGCTTCCAATACCTTATCGAAATTTGAGAAAGCAAGGATTAGTCGAGAAGAACTTCAACTTGCGCAGAGGCTAAAGCAGCGGACCGAACAACAACGACTAAGACAACTTGGCGGGCACGATCCGAAGGTGCCTATGGTCCAAGCGACTAACGGGCCTCCGCCACAGGATAGGAATGTCGCCGAGCCGATCAGGGACGAGAATCACAAGCCTCCGGGCAAACGCAAACGCTCCGGTTCGCCTACACTCAACCCTTCAAACCCTTCGCGGCCGCGGAAGGATGGTCCAAATTCAGCCCCTGCGAACGCACCTAAAGGCCCTCGACGCAAGATCGACGCCAACATTCCTCCCAAGGCAGAGGTAGTTGCTCCTTATGTCGTGTAGTTTTTCCATGGTCGTGTCATTAATTCATTGCTACAGGACTTGGTGAAGCCGTCTCGTGACGGACCCGCGTATGGCTCTTCGAATCATGCGCAATCCCACGGTGGACCCCGCTCGGTCCCGAGTTCTGCAGGTGTAAGTGATCATCCGAGCGTTTGACTTCAGGGACTGGTCTTTTCCCGAGTGGCTAACTGTGTTGTTGACACAGCTTCCTCCACGTCCTCAGCAGCCCATCCCAGGCAACGTCAGGCCCCCAATGCGCAGGAAGAAAGAGGCCGATCCTTTCATCAGGCCAAAGCGAAGATAATCATCTCTCCGACAGCGTTCGATTCCGATCTCCGGTCGCGCAACGAGAGCATGTGACGTGTCATAAGCGCTATTGAAGGGACGATCACTTGTATGGCACTTTGAAATCATTTTTCTACATGCAGGATGCGCTGTTGATGATTTGACCAGTGCCTTTTAGACACTTCTCTCATTTCTCACTTGTCGTCTGTGGCCCGACTCCTCACTAGCCACAGTGGACCGTTCAATCCGATATGACATCCTTCACTATCCACTTTGTGGCATCGCGAAGTGGAGGCACGAGGCTTGTCATAGCGCGTGTTCTCGCAAATTCACTTCCTCCAGCATTAGCGGCGTGTTTGCTGTTATTCTTCTGCGATGTGGTTTTTACTGTAACATTGGAACAAGGCATTATTGGTGCTGTGCGAGGATTGAGGATAATACTATGATTTGAGGTCCGTCCCTAGGGAAAGGGCAGGGAGCGAGTAGTTGACGGGTCGGGACAAATTGTTAAACTGGCTGGTTTTCCTTAGATGGGATAGAATCATTGCTGGCTGGGGGGCTCTTCGGGTATAGGGTGAAGGTAAGGTAGTGCGTGAGTAGTGGAGTGAGAGACGCTGCTTCACGGTAGATGCTCGCGAATGGGCAGGCAACCATTTCCTGTCCTTGAGCTGAAAAGGTCAATCGGAAGGACTTCTCGAGGAGCATCATCCGATTGATAATAAGACCAACTGATTCAAGGCTCTTGTCACATCGACGCATGTGCCATTGCAGCGCTTGGGTTTAGTGGGTTTGGTGATTCCTATTGTTCCATCAACCCCGCCAAGACGCAGCCATATCAGCTGGGGTCGCGATGATGATGATTGGGACCGGCTTGATGACTACCTATGCCATTGTTCCACTACGATACTCCGTAGAATCTACCGTATATCATGGAGTGAACCACCTTCCCCTGATCATGCCGCACGGATCTTCGATCGAAGTGAGCAATTCCCCTTACAGCAGTTCGTTGTAAACCAGCCCCGCAAGCTCCAGAACTTTGACATGTTCGGGTTTTGACTGATAGCGTCATCCTTGTCGTCTATGGTCGACAGGCTACGTCAATGCAAGTGCTGTCTCAGAAAGGGGAGTGGACTGGAACAGTTTCGCGATCGGAGAATAATTACCAGAAGGATAGAGTTGGGGTTTGTATTCCGTTGCACACTCTCCGTACAGCAGACACAGTTTACGCAGGAGAAAGGGGAGGTGCATGAACTATCAGCTGCAAGGAGGAGGAGCCGTGGCGCTTTCTGCTTCCTAATCCATAGACGACTATTGCACACCACCATCTCCTGTGTTTAACCTGTGAGGAATTTCTCTCCATCCACACACCTTTTCCACAATTCACCATTGGAACTATCGAGGCTTCTTTCTCTGCATCATCCCGTCGGTAAGGGCTGATTCTCTTTGTCCTACAGGCTACAGTAACTTTCAGCAACAGTGTCACCGAGAGAAGATGCATGTGGGTGCAGAGAGATGGTCAACAAATGTGACCTGTCTTTTTCCCACGCAGTGCATCTGTCACAATTGGTTCCCTTAGGCCACTACTCCGCTTTGATGTATAGCTCAATTGACCTAGAGGTGGTCCTACAATAAAAACAATCGCCGGGGGGACTGTTACGAGGCTGACACCTCATATCCCACCCTCCGCCTGCATCGAGACTCAGTCTTATCCCTCGATTGTTGGGTACCGATTCACTGATTTTCATTCGCTAAATAATCGCTCTCAATAGAAATCCTCCTTTTCTGAGAAAAATAAAAATAAAAATAAAAATAAAAATAAAAATAAAAATAAAAATAAAAAAAAGAAACAAGAAAACAACGAACGGTGCTGCCATCATCATCCCGTGGTATCCCTTGCGTGATATCCAACGGTTCGTACTTCGTACAGTATCGCGATTCAAGGGAGACTGACGATACAGACAGCGACAGACGAAGTGCATATCCATGAAGTCACACGAGACTACCACTGAACCCCAAGGGCGGATGATCACACCCAAGGATCTTCGATAATCGTCAATTGGAAGTTGGACTGGCCCTCCTTCTTTCTTTTGTCTGATACCGCGCGCTGCATAAAATTGTTGGCGATGATGACAGGGTCCATCCAGCCCCAGCAAATAATCGTCTGGCACGGACTCGATCGCTTCTTCCGTGGAGTTATTTTTACTTTTTTTCCCTGTCCATTTTCACATCTTGAGTCTTCTTTGCCTAATTCTCCTCGACTTTTTTCGCCCCTACCTACTGATAATGGCCCCACATCGGCCTTGCGTGTTCCCTCTACTCCCACGTCCCCCATGCTTTTGGGTGCCTGGCTGGCCACCCTGGGCTCGTCGAATAGCAGCTGTCTAGATCCAACTCTATCTTGCAAGCTATCGCGAACGAGGGCAAGCTTTCCATTCGACGATTCATCACAATTCTGCATTGGCCTACAGATCCTAGGAGGGGGCTTCCCGGCTGCAGTGCAGCAAGGGCCTGACAGCTCCTCGAGTTCCCTTGAGGTCCCTTCATAAATTCGCGATACCTCTTCCCTGCGACCATCTGGACTCATTTTTTTACTCCTCCTGGGTGGACAAGCGCTGCCGCTCTGGGGTGGGCATTATAATTGGGTCAGCTGTATAGACCGATCCCTGCACACAGCTTAATTACATTCTGTCCTTACGTTTTCTCTCGCATTCCACACGATCATTACCCCGGTCTGTCAACTTGGTCAATTACTCCACAGCTGCCCTTGACTAGTGATTAATTTTCTGTGTCGTGGATTCGACTTCATGTACCTTTCCAACGACATCATTACGTTCCTTGATCCCTTGATCTCTTCCACTTCCAGACTCCATGCTGACCGTGCCTCATTCTTGCGCAAGACTCCGAGGTCGTTTGAGCAGCTGGTAGCCAGCTGTGGTATCCATGCAACGGAGGACTAGGTCATATGGCAGCTTCGTTGCACCAAGTCCAATCGTCCCAACCTGCCGAATCAAGTTCCAGCACATCCCGCACGGGACATTTCACCATGTCGCCCCTCTCACAGGAATTCCGGGCAGAGAGTCCCTCCCTGATACCCAGCGAATCGAAGAACGACCAGATGACCGATTTCTTGAAGTATATTGAGACTCCAAGCGGCGCCACGCAGTCAACGGGGGCTCGAGATATATTCAAGGCCGGTCAAAGACGTCTCCGGCAATTTGCCCAACGGCCCCGAAAGAACCTAGACCCCAAATCTAAGGCCGAAGAGACGGCCCGTCAGCTGATGGCGCTACAGGAGGGCGGATTTCTGCCGCCGCATGTTTCCCTGTCGCCTAAAATCGGCCCCAAGTCATCTCAGAAGAAAAGCTTGGATTCGAGCCGCTCCTCGGCCAGATCCATCTCGAATCTCAGCTTCAAGTCCACTTCCCGCAGAGACGTCGAAAGCATCGGACAGCCCTGGCTGACAGATTCTCTGGAGAAGAAACATAAGCCTGAGCCCCAAGCAAGTCACCTCTCTTCGCTGAATCTGCAAGAGCTGACTTCGCTGGTGGAAGCGGCGGTGTCAGGCCCTGCGCAGCCGGATGACGTCGACCCTCCTCCTTATCGGCAAGCTGAAATTCCCGAGAGCGTCTTAAGGGCGAACCAGAGTCAAAAAGAATCATCGCATGAGCCCTCAAACCAGACTAAGCGCCGTATGGATTGTATCAAAGAGGGAGGTACAGCGGCCAGCGGGCCGGGTTCAGGAGTATCTGTGCCATGTCCGACGGTAAATTCGGGCAAAAGAGCGAAGTCCAACCGAGACGAGGTGCGCTCTGATGATGTGATCTTTGAAGCAGAACACGACTGACTATCAATAGTTCCAATCCACAAAGAACCAGGATACAGATTCTCCCCGGTCTAGCACAGAATCCAAAGCCTCGAGGCCTGGACCAGCGTCAACTGATACACAAAACGCCTCGGCTCAGCCGCCGCCATCGTTGAAACTGTTTCCTGATACACTGCCTTCGCGAGTGTCTAGTAAAGGAGCTTGGCGCATATCAACTGGACGGCTACAAGGACCGAGCGTGTCTCTCCCTCTTTCGCCCGGGCAACAGGCTATGGTTGAAACGGGAGCAGGATGCACTGAAATGGAAACAGATGCTGCAATCAAAGAACAACAGTCTAATGTGACTCAAAACAATCCTAACAAGGAGGCACCGGGAGAGCCGGAGGGAGAAGGTGTGGAGAGTTCGAAAAGTGAGCTGCCCAAAAAAACTTGTCGCCGGCCCTCTTCCTTGCCCATGTGCGCCATCGATGCATTTCCTCTTCCAGCACCCATGCGTCCTTTGCCTTCATTACCGGAACTAAGCCCTGCTGTTACTGTTCATGAGAGGAATGTCTCTGCCCAGCCTGCGTCCACAAGATTAATGTTAAACGGCGGCAAACGTCCAACCCTCGAGACGAAAGATAAATCGGCGGGAGTCTCGTCAAGTATGCCTGAGCCCAGTTCTCTGGTGCGTACTGGACCAACACGCGCGGAGAGGCTCATGTCGCAGAAGCGTGATGCGAGCACAGTCCGTCTTTATCTGAATGGCCTTGAACCTTCCCAAGAAGGAAATGAGGAGGAAGAGCGACCTTCTCGAGCTTTGACGCCAGATATAGAGGGCTCAAAAAATGGCGGCGACATGGCGGATGCTCCCAAACGCGTCGACGACCAGCTGAATAGTAATAAACGGTGTCAGCGTATACTGGCTTCGGAGCCTCCCTCGCCACCACCACTGTCTCCCCCGCCAATGAACCCAGCGAGACACTCCACTGGTCAGACTGGTGGGCGACAGTTTCGGTCGGCTTCGAAGAGATTGAACTCGCCCTTGCCAGAAGATCTCGATTCGCGAACAAGGTTGAACACTGCAGATGGGGTGCAGCGAAGCGGCAGCGTGCGCAGCTCAAGCACCCAAGACCGGTTGGCAAAAGAGAAAAGCCTCAAGGTTGGCTCTGAATCCCCCCTGCCATCGTCTGATGACGACTGTACCGGTGGCAGTAGACGGAGTCGACCCACTACAGGGCGGCGTCGTCGTCCCAGACCAACGTCTCTGACTTTCAGAGAGCAAGCAACAAGCCGACCTCGCTCGGCTAAGAAGTCACTGTCGGGACACAAGATCCCACTGACTCCGAGAGATTACCGACCACACAGTCTTGAAGGCTACTCCCCGGACTCGTACTACTCGCAAAGCACCAACCAGTCACGGAATTCACAGAACACCAGGCAGTCCGCCCAAATCATTGAAGCCCTGGAGGAGCGCATCACGCATCTCGAGCGACAGAACAAGATTCTTCAGGCCGCACTCCTAGCCGCACTCGATGTCGGCACCAAGCAAAGTCTGGAGAGTGTGCTGGGCGGGTTGACGACGCCCCCGGCGACGGCGACGGTGACTTTAGGCACGGGGCGGTCGTTCTCGTCGGAGACCAGTACCTCGGCATCGACAACGCACCGGAAGCAATACCTGCGGAGGAGCAAGAAACCACCTTTCAGGCCGGAAAGCTGGATTGCTAGTCCCGGCTCGAGCCGGCGAGGCAGTTACGAGACGGATGATGTGCAGGAACTCGAAGATATGATTGAGGACCTGGACTTGGAGTGGATGTCGGAGAAGTCGGAGGATTAGGTGATCGTGGTTGCCGCCAGGACTGCGCATGGTTTATGCGGACTGGCTCTATATCATTTTTGGTTTGTTGATTGCGTTTATTTGGTCGACTTATTCACAGCCGGAGACGAGCTGTGTCATTCTTTGATTGTTTCTTTTGTCTAAGTTTCCACGATACCACTCTGTTTCTTACTTCTTGTATATTGTACGTGTTATTCAGTCTTTCTCCGGTTTGGGCACCTGCGAGGTTACGTCGGGTTAACAGTTGGTGCGGAAACTGTGCGAAGTTGTTGGCAACGATAGTAGTTGATTGGACCACTATGGATTCTGCGGAAATCGAACAACTTTCCCTTGCTCCTTCGATCTTACGTACTCCCATAGTAATATCTGGAGTTTATTTTGAAAGAGATATTACCATAAAAGTACTAGTAGCTCTCGAGGATCTAGGTATTTTCGTATTGATCATTGAATAACTATTACAAAGCAGCGCTCTCACCTAGAATCCAGAAATTAAGGGTAAGTGGTGACGGCAAGATTGCCGGATAACTGAGATAGTATCACAGTAGAAACGCAGGAGCTCATGTCTGGACTCCGTAGTGATTCACAGATTTGTTACATAGAGCATCACATCCAGCACCGCGCACCTCGCTAGTTGAAGCCCCATTGCAAAGATACACAGAAGGCACTTCTTAGACTCACAGCCGACGGCAAGTGCAAACTTGTACGAAGTAAATACGTCATTACCGACTGCAAGTCTGGAATTATGACTCAGCGGGGTGATGCGAGGGTAGTTACTTAAAGCAGACCCGGTCCCAGAGCCGGGTAGGGTTCAAAAATTCACCTTCCTTTAATAACATGAGTCACAGGTCCCGTGGTGGAGGGGGGGAGGGCCGCTAGGTTTGCCAGAACGACCTCCAAAAGGTGCTTGGAGTGGAGTGTCCATGTCTCTGAGTCCCTTGTAGACTTGACATGAGGCTAGGATGTGAGACTTAGTAGTGTGGAGAAGAGGGCGGAAGATGCGCACGCGGGGAGTTCTGTGTTATATTTGTAGTGCTCGCTTTCTACTATTCAGGAGAGTCAATGGTCTATAGATGGATCCAGCCTCGAGTCGAAACAGCCGTTGGCGGGCAATGAATCTTACATGTATGGACTACTTATGCACAGTATCCTACGGTGTAGTGGTAGGCACGTGATATCTTCCGAACGGAGTCCCTGGGCGGGCGGAGGATCTTCCCGGTCATTCTCCGCGCCAATCAGAATGCCCAAATTGCATAAGGTGCCCAGAAATCCATATAGCCAAGTCACTACTGCAACGAGGGGCGGACCCATGGCAGCCCAATGATACTCAAGTCTCCGCTAGGGGCTGGGCAGTGACCAGAGATACAGCAGGAACAAGAAACGAGTCAAGATTTGTCCCGCTCCTCCTGCACTATGGAGAAAAGCGCCAGGCAATTAATCCGAGCCTTCAAGCGGTCGTGCTTCAAGAGGGCCTGCTGAAAGCCTTTGCTCGGTCAGGAATCGAGCATACTGCACGGATGTCGTTAGCGGCCCGGGGCGGACCCAAACTATTCTCGGCCCCGAGGCGCGGGTGACTCCCCTGGCTAGAGCTGCAGGCATGAGAAATTTTGCCATGGTCAAGCTTCTCGTCGAAGAAGCCGGTGGGGATCTCAACCTTCTCAATGACCGACAAGAAGGGCTGCTATCCGAAGTGGCTGTACGTACGCATTGCTTTTGGTCGAAATGGGATGATGGCACATCTCACTATGGTTTTATCAGGGCGCGGCAGTCGCCAGCCTGGAAAGCCCAGGTAGACGCTGAGACCATGGCCGAAATGGTGGCCATGACAGCTTTTTTTCTGAACCTCGGGGCGGATATCCGCCGGGCCGGAGGGGATCTGGCATTGGCGAATGCAATCAAGTCTCACAACGCAGAACTGGCCCAGTTGCTGCAGGCGCGAGGGGCCCGTATTCAAGCGCTGAATGAGTCGGATCAGCCGGCTCTCGAACTTCTAGATTTACTCTATACTATTCTATACTAATATACAGTACAATATATAATATAATAGAACTGTTTTTCCTGTACTACTAAGTAGAATCTAAGATTATAGAAGATATCTTTATTACTACAAGCTTAATTAACTACTCTTTTATTCTATAACCTAGAGAGTATAGCTCACCGTCTCGAGCCCAGTATATCATACAGTTCCGTAGGTAGACAGGCCAATTCAACAGAATCATCACTCCATCACAGAGTATTCTTATAGAGGATCAATATAAAATCTTAAGAATCTTGAGTTTGCATACAGCAGCCTGCCTGCGCAGGCAGGTGAGGCGAGGCACTACTACATGAACAGAGATTAACTACCTTAGCGATATACTGTACACAACTACTAGCTGCTAAGTTACTAGTCGACAGCCAGTGATCAGTTCAATAGCAGCCGGCGAAATCAGTAGCAACGGAAAATATATCACGTCTTCCGCCGGGCTCACAGTATACAGTTTCTAAATCTTTACTATACATGTAATGGATTCATTCTTCTTGCCTGCCACAGTTCCTGGCGACAACTTTAACCGCCAATGTAGATAACTGCCGGCATTACCCGCCTTGGATATGAATGGTATCAGGTGTTCCCCCTGGCTAACTGCCACCAACCACTTAGTCTTATATTAAGTGACAAGTATTTTTGAGACCCTTCCTTAGCGAAGATACAATCAGCATCTCCATAGTCTATAGTAGGAATCTAATAATACTCTCTACTATCGAAAACTTGTTATTCCAACTTATCAGCTGACAAGTAAACCCCTGATGACTCAGCATCTACCCGCCCCCAGCAACCCGACACCCGACACCGCCATAAACAGAAAACAGCTCAGCTCCTCACCAGCTCGCTGCAACCTCAGTTGTCCCTCGTCAAAAAAAAATCTAGTGTTTGGTTGTAAGCGCAACGACGCCCCGCTCAAGATAATCAAAAATCCCAACTCAACCCCGCTTCTACCGCTTGAACCCAAGACCCAAAAAACATCACCCCAAATCCTCTCCCGAGCACACCCCGCGCCCCGCGCGCCAGAACAATCATGGCGAGTATATCAACAGTACGTCCACGTTCACCCTCGCCCCGGGAGTCACTTGCATCCTCGACCCACCTGAAATAATCATGAAGGGGGATGCCGGTTGGTATGCATGATACTGACCGTGAGGCAAAAAGACTCAGATCCCCCACCACGTTACCGCCCTCCTCTCCCACCTCACCTCCCGCCCCGGCGTGCAATCCACCTTCATTCTCTCGCGCAAGGACGGGTCTATTATCCAGAGCACGGGGCTGTATGCTTCATCTTCGTCAGGTCGGCGGTCGAGTGGGAGGGGTTCGGGGGATGGTTCGTCGGGGGAGAGCAGCAGTACCAGCCAAGGCACAAGCCACAGCACGGGCAATAACAACAGCAACAGCAACACCACCAGCATCACCACCCCCAGCACCGAACCAGCGACAGCCCCCGTCACCACCACAACCACCCTGACAAGTCCGTCGCCCTCGACCGCGCAGCCGGATCAAGAACCGCAACAGCACTCGTCCACAGAACATGCACCACCACAATCACCACCCGCTGGCACGGATTCTTCTTCGGTGGTGGAGAGAGCGCCCTCTCAATTGGAAGGAGCTGAAGCGGATGCTGATGCTGATGCCGAAGCTGATGCCGAAGCTGATGCTGATGCTGTGTCTACGGGCTTATCTGGGGGGATAGCGTCGAGTGCTGCGGGGGGGGTGCAGTCATCAGTAGGAGCGGGAGCAGCACAACCGGCCGCACCAGCAGTAGCATCACAACCGGCACCAGCACCACCGACGCAGGAGGAGGAATACACACCCTCCCCGGCTGAGACCCTAGCAGCGCATATCTTCGCATACGTGACGAGTGCGGCGGAGTTGGGCGCTGTGCTTGGGGATCCTGCTTCTTTTGTGTCTGGCTCAGGGACGAGAGGACAGACCCAGAAACAGGGACAAGGACAGGGACAGTGGCAGAGCGCGGGAGGTGCATATGGAAATGGGTTGGTCGGACATACGGAGGGGATTGGAGGAAGTCATAGTCACAGGGACGGGCTCGAGGGACAAGGTCGCGCGGGGAAACAGCAACCCGAGGATGGAGAGCTGCTGGACGGGGAGCAAGAGGAAGGCGATGAGGTGCGGTTGTTGCGGTTGCGGACGAAGAAGCATGAGATTGTGGTGGTGCCGGATCGGAAGTACTTGCTTTGTGTGGTGCATGGGATTGGAGCTGGGGCCGGGGCTGGAGCCGGAGCTGTTGCTGGTAGTAATAGTGGGAGTGGGAGACGGTGATTTGTCTCTTAAGGCAGAGGCTGTTTATGATGTACTTTATAAGGCAAGGCAAGGAATGATACCTGCAGCGAAGGACGTGCCGAACACCACCATGTGTGCAACAATCAATAACAGCACAACAAAAACAAAGAATCCAGCAGCGACTGCACATCCTAAAACCAACCTTCCACACCCCCAAATTCGCCTGTTAAGCACCCACCGTCTAAGCACAGCACCAACCTCAAGCAACCTCCCCCGGCAACCTCACCCCCTCCCACCCCCTCCCGCTCCCATCCCCCAAATCCCCCGGCGAACTCTCCCGCCCAATCCCTCTCCACTCCGTCAAATTCATCCACCCGATTTGCTGCAACCCGCCAAACCCCCCTACCCAATACACCTGCTGGACCACCAACCTCGCCCAGAAACTCGAATGCGGCGCCCCCTTCCTGTGCGGCAGCCACGCCTCCGCGTCGGGGTGTGCAGCTAGATAGCACTGCGTGAGACGGTCCTCCGCCCCCTCCTCTCCGCCTTCAGATTGCACCAAACTAGAAAAGTCCACCTTCTCGACATACCCCAACAGCGTAACCCGAGGCAACCCCGCCGCACTCAGCGGGAAACCCGGAAACACCGGCTCCGTCGCGTTCAGATGATCCCACCACGAGAGCGAAAGGGAGAGGTTGGACCCCGCAGCGGTGTTGCGGAAAGTCGTCGCGACGTTGAGGGCGAGGAAGATGGGATTTCCTTGACTTGTGCCTAAATGGTTGTTGGCCCCATAGAGAGCGTGTTCACAGTCGGAGAGGTATTCGGTGAGGCTGATGGAGTGGCCTGCGACGGTTTCGGGAGTTCTATGGGGAATCCATTCTGAGGTATCACCCGAGGAGGAGGAGTCGGTTCCGGGTAATGGGCTTGGGAAGATGGTGGAGGCGGTGCCGGTGGGAGACAGGGCGAGGAGGCGGCGGGCGAGAAGGGTGGATTCGAACCAGCTTGGGGGTTTGTAGGTGTTTGTTGTTGACGCTTCATTATAGTCAGAGGGATAGAGGGTGTCTGTTGTGTCTTTGTAGTCTGGGTGCTGAGTGAGAAGCTGCTGCTGCTGTTGCTGCTGCTGCTGCTGCTGCGAGGACTCCAGTACAGGAGTTGCACTGCCGAGCTGGGTGAGGGTCGTGCAGAGCAAGGCCACCAAGGCGATGACTTTAGGAGGAGCCATTTTCAGATCTGAGTGCACCTCGTTCTGCTTAGGTTGTTTTGTTGCTGCTGCACTCCAGTATCAATATATTGAATAGTACCACGGAGTAGGAGGTAGGCAGTTGATAAGAACAACCGAGGTCACGACAGTGAGGGGAAACAGACCATCTGATCTTATCTGATCACGCTAGACCATTCCTGCTTTGCGCGCGGCATGTGATCCCCGGCGGTGAATCGACTTCCGGTCTCGTCCAATCTCGTAGCCTGTACCGGTTACTTCCGTGGGTTACACAACAGGATTACTGCCTCAGGCTGCACTGGCCACTGGGGCGGGCGTGGCATGAGTCACTAGTGCCACTAGCGTCTCCCCGGTGAACCAAACCAACACCTGAATGAACCACCTGACCAGTCACCCACCTTTTCACTCCAACATCATACTTGCGGTGAGTCATACGGGCACCTGACACTGCTCCTGTAGGATGATCGAGTAAACATGGTATTGGTGGTCGCAGAGCCAATCGACTCCGGCTTCTAACTATCAAAGGAAATCCCCTCAACTCCCTAGGGCCAGTGGTAAAATGTGCAGCCCTCCATGATGTGCTCCATAAGCAGCCAACAAACAAATAAAATCCCAGGCCATTCCATCTCACTCCGGTCCCTAAGCAGATAACGACAGATCACTAAGTAAATGGTAACAAATGTGAGCATGAAATGAAAAGTGTGCGGACGAAAACCTCCCCAGTGTACATCGTACAGCCGTTGACTGCATCCGCGCAGCCAGACAAAGAAAAGATAAAAGACTCCACAGAGTCGGAAAACAGGCTGGAAGGTATGTACATAGACCAGGACTTTTGTTTTCCCTTAGAACGTGCACGACGGAAAAAAAGTTCGCACAAAACTTTTCCCTTCCCAGAATGCGTCTTCCGCTGCTTTGCTGCGAGTACATCACAAAGAGAATCGCTTGTTCGACGAAGTCAAAAGTCAATCACCATAGGATTAAGCAATAGTTCATGGGAGAACGGTGTCTCCAGAAGAGACGAAAAGTAGAGACAAGGAAAACCTAACCCAAGTAGTCTGCCCGCATACTAGGGTGAAGTGCAACCTTGCGAGCTTCGCTGCCACAGCAGGCGCGTTTGATGCCGGCGGGACCGGACAGCGGTGCCTGGTAGTTTAAAGCATTCAACTGGGCCAAAGTCAGTGACTGCGCAGAGCCAGACCCGGTTTTCCTCCAGAGATCCGCCACGTTTTCGTGGGGTAGAGACACTTCGCCCAGTGCACTAGCCTTGGCCAAGTGATGAAAATGGTTCTGCAGCAGCATATCCTCCGATCCGGTCCGGCCGCGCTTACGGCCTTGACCCATGGGCTGCTCCTGACGCGAGGTGGCGCCAGACAGCTCACACAGGCTTTGGGCCGCCTCGTGCGTGGAAGTCAGATCAATCGGATGCTCAAAGGAGTATCCGGACAAATCCGGAACTTGGCCCATGGGACCAGTATAGCTTTCTGGCGAACTATAGACTGGACCAAGCGGACCCTCATCGGGAGGAGTCACAATAGTCAGGTTCTTTCGGGCCTCCTTCAGGGAGTGGCCAGTGCAGCGTAGCGTAGCCTGCACAGCCAAACGAGGAAGCGCGGCCCCAGTGACCGAGGAGCACGACGACATAGAAGACGATCGCGAGGACTGGGAGGACAGAGTCGACACATCCGACACCATTGAGTCCGGAGACGAGGTGGACGAAGCCGAGCGAGCCAAGGATGATCGGCGCACAAGGCTTGGGTAGCCATCAAACGTGCTAGGCTTAGGACAAAGCGATAGCGGCGGCCGCGGGTCGTAGACCGACCGCGCCGTGCACATACCTTGTACCTGCGACATAGCAACTTGCATGTAACGCCGATGCGCAGCAATTCCACCAGCACTCACTGCAGGAGTGGAGGCGATGCTCGCTTGCGGGGTCATCTGGGGAGTCGGCAACATCTGCGGCTGCGGCATGGGAGGAAGGGACGGCAGAGAGTTCGTGCGCTGCACCATTGGTTCCAAAGCCAAGGGCGGCAGGGTAATCGAGTCGCTCGTAGGCAGCCTGGGCAACTCCCGTCGGGTCGACGTGCCACGGGGGGATGGCGATTCAGCCACGGAGCGAGCGTCAAAAGACCCCATGCTCGAAGGCGTAGCAGGGGTGGTGTCGAAACTGTCCAACTCAGGGGTGAGTTTGGGGATGATCGTTCGCCAGCACTGTCCATCATCAAGTGGTATGCTGCTCGCGCCCGGAGTGAACCGCAGCACGATGTCCGTCCAACGTTGAAACAGCGACTCGGGGATGTGGAGTCTCCAGTTCACTGCTTCGAGAAACATGAGCTCGTTCTGGTTGATTTCGACGGTGTTCAGGCCGGAAATCTTGCTCCAGGCACGGGCCGAGTAGTTGCGGTCCTGAAGGTATTTCGAGGCCAGGATCAAAGCCGCCAAAAACATGCGTCGCCCGCACTGCATGGCCCGGCAAGCAGGCTTGCCTCGGGACTGGTCCTGCGTCAGATCGTGGGTGGGCACATGCGACTTGATCTTGATCAAGTAATACAAAGCCACCTGCAACGTGCTATAGCTCGTGCGGGAGCGACGGAGTGTTTCTTGGATGAAAGTGCGGAGGGGCAGTACGCCTTTGCATCCAGTGGCCGAGTCACTCCGAAGCGACACGGCGGATAATGGCCAGATAGCCTCGACGATCTGCGACGCGGTATCTTCAAATGCGATTCTTAGCTCCGAAACTCTTTCAACCAGAATGATCCATTAATTTTTTCCCAACTTACCGACAAGGTTGTCAACGAAGTTAACCTTCCGCTCCGACTGTCTCAGGAGACAGGGGGGGGGCCGCGTGCAAGATGCGCCGTTCGCTTGAGTGGCGCTGTTGGTCCGCCGGGGATGCTTGCGCAACTCTGGTGGGACAACGGCCGACTCAGCAATTCGGGGAGGATTTCCCCTGGAACAACCCCGTGCTCCCACCGCCGCCAGACCCCTTCCTGCGGCCGAGTATTCTCCTTCATTCTCCCAGATCACGTCCACCGGCAGCGTGGCAGCGGAAGAGGCAGAGCTCTGGGCGGACACGCCATCGAGAGAAAAGACCGAGGAGGTCGAAGAAGAGGCCGAGGAAGAGGCCGACGATGCGTAGGGGTGCGCATAGGGTGCTCTGATTTGTTGGAAGTTCGGGTTTGGATCCTTCAAACCCAAAACGTCAATCCCTGACATATCCGGGATGATGTCCAGTCGAGAGACCTTGAATACTTTTAACAAATAAAAAGAGATTCGAAGTACCTCAAATGGTCATCCAGAAGGCCGGCAAAGGGTTGCTAGACTTCAACTGTTGAAGAGCCGCGGAGATGGCCAAGAATAGTGCGTTTAATTTGTACCGGGATTTATCAAGAAACCGTTATGCTGAAGACCGTAAACGAGTAGCCGTGAGACAGGAAGCCGTCTTTGTATGAGCAGGCGACGGCAAACCCTTAGTAGCGAATAGTCGCCAGTGTAGTATGAGTCGAAAGTGAATCAAATGTGTGAGTCAGGGGAAGGCGAAAATAACCATCCACCACGAGATCCGTAATGGCGGATTGAGAAGAGGAAGAAATCGGGGGTGAAGAAGAGGGTGAGGTGTAGGCAGTGAGTAACGTGTCAAGGAGGTTATTCACTGTCTACTGTTCCGATCGCCGGTGTCGAGTACCGGAGATATCAAGCCGAATTTTGCGCGACAAAAGAGTACACGTAGGATGACAACGTGATTCTTTCGGGTGACAGATGCCGTTTAGATCAAAGAGCACTTAGATAGAAGCGACCTTGCCAAAAACTCGGATAACTGAGACCTGGGAAGCAACACGGGCGATCGGAACAAAAGATTTCGAAACAACAGGGTACATCTTGAGGTATGAGAAGAAGTATATCAAGGGCCGATAGAACGGCGAACTGTCACAACAAGCAGGCGGCTACTATATGCAGCGGCGCTTGTTCAGGCAGTCAAACGGTCTATCGGGGAAGAGGAATAGCGCGATGGAGTCGAGGCTGATGGGTGGTGAGGCTCAAAGAAGCTGAAGGCGAAAAGAGAATCGAGTCAGCAGATGATTTTAGTAAGATTAAGTTATACGTATGTCGGAGGCGTTGTGTATATGAGTGAGAATGAGAGTTGTGCGGCGATTTATGACTCTTACTCCGGGTCTCACTAGGCAGAGGAACCGAAGAAGGCTTTTAGGCTTTCTCCTGTCCGGTGACTATAGCGGAGCACAAGATAGACAATAGTGACTAACTTGGGGGCGATCCAGTTGCTAAAGTGATTATGGAGGAGTTCAGGTTGAGATGGCAACCTGAAATCAGGCAGGGAGGCAAATAGAGGCGATAGGCGTGGGAGAAGAAGAGTAAAAATGGAACAAGCGTGAATGTTACTCACTGTGGCGAGAGTGGCGGGACTGGATGACTGGGTGAGTCGAGCGGACGCAGGGACCGCTTTTCTTCAGGGCTGGTTTTAAGAGCGGAGAGTAGAAAGAATGGGGAAACAAGGGAAAATCAGATCAGACCACCAAATCCAGTGTAAAAGAGAAACAAGAACTCCCAGTATTTGTACGCTTGCTCCCACTCTGGCACTCTCTACCGGAAGGGGAAGACTAAAAGGGGGGGGGGGGATGGATATAAGGGGAGAGGGGAGTGTGGGGGATAAAGAGGACAAGACAAGAAAAGGAGAAAAGAACAGGCACGGGGAGGCAGAGAGGGAGAGGGAAATGAGAAATGGAAGAGAAGTGGAAGGGAATGAGAGTAAGTAGGAGGGAGGAGGAGGCAGTGGAGGGAGAGGGAGGGGAGGGAGAGATCCATCGGAACCTGGACGGGAGCGGATATCGATGACTCTTCTGTTGGACCAGTGCGAGTAGTTACAATCGCCCGACTTGGGCATACAGTAGAGTAGTATTACTGATACTTTGTATGGTTCTTTACTGATATACATGACTTCTCTCTGCTACATGATCGTCATTCTCCTAACTGTAATCCAAGCAAACCAACCACTCACTTAGATATTTATTATCAATACACTGTACATCCCCCTCTCCCCTCTTCGATTTCCCTTCTTTTCCTTCGATGGATAGAGGGAGGTCCCATGGTCGAGATTCCATCCCATGTTTTGTGCATGACTAAGATACGCCCCCGTCCCAACCCCGATTTTCCCGAAAAACTGGGTGGAGTCGTCGTTCAGATGATAACAACGTTAACAGTCGCAATAATATCTCCCGATTTTGAACTAGTGCGTGCTATCATTTAGGTGCTTATGACGATGAACTGTTGTCCTACCCCCATCGGTAAGAAAAGCCATCCGATAAAAGACCAACCAGAGGAAGAAAGCGACATCGGCCATCCATAACTAAGGGTAGATACACAGCATGCACTGCATGCTTCAGCAAGTCAGCGATGAAACTTTACTCAGCCGACAAACTCAAGTTACTGTATGGAAGAAAGCTACAGATGGTCGGTCCATTCAAAACGCGACGAACCCATCGTGTTGACATCTGTCCCTCCATAGCAGGCGGGCGCTTTTGCTCAGGGATATATGCTGCTCGCCCCCCTCCTATCCGTCGAGCTACACACGTTGATCACAACTTCACTTATACTGTACATTATATTTATGATGGGGGCATCCGAAGACAATACCACGGAGTGTACTTAACTTACTATGTAGTTCACTGCCACTGGATTTGCTCACAGCCCATCCGAAAGGGATGGATGGCCGGTTATGTCGTCGACGACCCAACGGAAAGGGTGGAAGCGCAACCAGAAACGACTCAACCTCGTCGGGGTTCTATTGTGGTCAGCCCAGCCAACCACCGCAGATGGATTATTTGCCAGCCACGCCACCATCCGCGAAAACTCGTACGGGTGAGGCAGTGACACGTACAACATGGCGAGATCTCTGCTCTAAATTTACCATACTCCTTTTTCCCGTTTTCCCAGTCATTTTGTCAGTGGCAGACTTTTTTCATAGTTCATACATGACACAGCCCATCAATAAATGTAGGTTGTTAGACGATGCTCAACATTCTCACCACACAGTAGTAGTTTTTATCCACATGTCTCGCTGCATAAGCCAAGAGGTGCACCGAAAAGTACAACTGGCTGTGGAACCCCCCTCCATCAGAATCAACCCCGCTTATGTAAATCCCCCAGGCAGCCAGGCAACAGCTTCCGGCTCAACACTTACTCCGACAAAGTCTCCGCCCGCAATTAATCATGAGTAACTGGAAGAAGTCCTGCCGGCGTCTTTCGGATACGCAAACAACCACAATTACTCATACAACTTGACTACCTACTAACTATTCCGCACGATCTAACTACTATGTGCATGCGCAGTATATCCGAACATCCGTCATCCGTCATCCGTAAAACCTACGTGCGACCACTCTCTTACTCATAATTAGAACCCACCGTAGCAAAGAAACAAAAAAATTCCATCAAGTGATACAACAACACCGAACAGCCAGCGGGATGCTGCGGAAGTGTCAAAGCTCAACTTACCACACTGTATGAGTAAAAAAGCAATCCTGCCGGAGCTACGCAGGATTATCATGAAAGCCGATAGGACGAGGCTAGAGGTCCCCCGTGCGTGCATGCATTTACTCCAGCATGGAAACATTCTGGTGGAGGTCAGATGGTGCTAGTATCTTCCAGCCTTGCCTTCCTTTAAAGGACTAGGTCACTAGCTACGGAGTAGTTCAGCCATGCTACTCCGAAGTAGGCACGAACTTCATCATCGTCATCATTCATTGTTACCGTATTCTCGGTTGTGCTCCGAATGAGGGGGGCACTGCTGCCTCAAGTAGACAGGGACGAGGCTAACTAAGAATAGCCTATTTTCTGTCTACTTAGGATTACAGTAGCTCATTCAGGGCTGCTCAGTGCTAAATGTACAGCCATCTGAACACGTTAATCTAAAGACGAATGTCCAAGACCAACTAAGCCTCATGACCGTCCACCCCATTACCCACTACCCACCTAGCCCCCGGTACATCAAATCATGGCGTGAGTGGCTGAAAGATTGAGATAGTGTCAGAGACAAGAAGAAAGAGGGGGCAGGCACAGCACCCTTTTGCCCTTCTCTATCGGGTTACCGAGTTACATGCGTATAGAGAAGCGATGTTGACTGGCAAGCGCCCAAAACCTGCCTCTCTAATCTTGCGGTGCAGGATTGTGTCCTACGTAAGCGGGCCAGATGAACCGATGAGGACTCGGCCCTTCGTTCAGCCCTGACTTGACTAAGGAGGACCTGAAAAAGGCTGAGCAAGTGCTACATCTGCCTCCAAAAGGTTAGGACTCCGTCTTCCTCTGACAGAGTAGAGATTAATGTGGAGCAGCAAACAAAGCGCTAACTACCCAATGACGCGCGCGGGGTCTCCGGGGCAATCTGGGACCAGCCACTGCAATTCGTCTCACTGCCCTGCCGAGGTGGACTGCCAGGTGCGCTATTGCAGGCAGCGCTGCAAGGCTGCAATTGCTCGTGGTTGGTGGGAGCCAAGGGGAGGGGTGCGGGTATTATCCCTGCCTGAGGCAGCATAAGGCATGATCTCAAGACCCCGCAGCAGGGTTGACGACTTGATTCTTCTACCTACTAGGAAGCATCAGGGAGGTACTGTGTATCGGTGATGAAGCTTGCATTAATCTTGCAGGTATGACTGACAGCAAGATCAATTACAAAGCTAGCTATTCATCTGTCTTGGTTCTAGACGACGACGTTGGCGCATAGCGGCACCGCACGTGAATATATATCTCGTTTCACTGTAAAGACTTCATCGTCTATTTGTAGTAGTAGTATATTGATGTGACGATGGCCTCCGTGAAACAACTTAAACCTCACTCAAAGCACGATGAAACTTCTCTATTTAACCCATGATACGGGAGATGGAGCCTAATACCCAGCGGAACAATAAATAATACCCACCGTAACCTACTCACGCATAGTAACCACAGACGACACCGAATTCAAAATACTCAACAGAAGCATCCCAAGACAACCATGAAAACAAAACTTTCAGCTCCTCCCACCCTCAGCTCAATAACAGGTACTTTTTTTTACCACCAAAACCTCCCAAAGCCAGCTGTACAAATAACTTGGAAGGCACTACAGCCTTTTCCCTTCCCGCCAAAATGGCCGATCCGTCCAGAACAACGGGAACAAACCTTGAGCTCCTCTTTTTTCTTTCTGTCGGTTGCGGGAAAACAAAAACCATGCAGATGATATGCAGGACTAATGCCGGCTTATGTGCTGCTCGACGGGCCAGTGAGAGACAGCCATCTGGATTGCTGTAGGCGAGGGGGGAGGGGTTGCTTTCTGGTTGGTGAGGGTGCTTTTGTTCGTATTGGTGTGAGGTAAGTGGGATTTTGCTTTTGCTTTTTGCTTATTGTCAGTGAGGAGAGGAGAGTTTTCTGGGCGAGTGAGGTCATCGATGTCGATGTGTAGTAGGTATGTTCGGCATAGTATGAGAGATGTGCGAAGTTGTTTCAGGTTGGCTTTGGATGTGTTAGCCTATGTAGTGTTTAGTGCCTGACTTCTAGACCAGGACACGACTCTACGAGTGCTCAGTAATGTTTTATGCGCAGGCTCTTATCCTACATTGCACGGAGTACAAGTTGTCAATACTCCAGCGTCATGCATTGGCGCCCTAGAACAGGCTCGAGCAACACTTATGCTATCCCCCAGCACAGGATGTAGGATTACTTGATATCAGCCCGCACCTTCTCCACAAACGCGCCCAAGTCTTCTAAGAGTTCAGCTGGTTGTTCAAAGGCGGCGAAGTGTCCTCCCTGCGGGGAGACTGTCAGCTCTAACTCCAATTATCCCCCAACCAACAACAAAGCAACCTACCTTCTCATGAGAGTTCCAGAAAACCAAGTTCCCGGTGGTTTCAACCCAGGCCCGCGGTATCGGCACAAGCTCCTTTGGAAAGTACGAGAATCCGAAGGGCTTCTTGATGTACCACCTCGGGTCCTGAGCGTGTTGGACCTTCGGCAAGGGGACTTGCTGCGAGGGTGTTAGACCGTTCAATAGATAAATAGAAGAAAGAGAGCGAGTGACAAGACAAAGACCAGGCTTTACCTCGCGGTAGTGGTAAATACACCGAGGGAATGTATCTGTGAGCCAGTACAAGGACACCGATTCGAGGATATCGTGCACAGGCAGGGGTTCGTCGGGCCAGTCGAGGAACTTTTCTCCGATCCTAGATCACCCCGAGATCAGACCATTGGAGGCTTCAAGGAGGGCTACAGGTGCAGAGCCAGCTGTGCTTCCAAGCAAGCATACTCACCAAGAAAGCAAGGCAACCGGGTTTGCCGAAAGAACATGTCCGATGGTGCTGGTCCGAGTTCCATGCTCGATTGCGTAGGCGTGACCGTAGGTGAAAAACCATTCTCCGCGAGCCAGGTTCTGTTTCTCAAGTTCGGAAATGGCCGAATCCTCCACGTTGTCGGGCTTGTTCATGTAGCAGGCGTTCACTTGTCGTCGTGTTCTCGATATTAGAGATGAAAGAGAGACAGTGATTTCTCTGGGGGGATAACAACTTACAATGAACCGCTACCCCGTTGACAACCAGTAATCAGTGCACCACTCAGAGCTTAACATCATTCAATGACCCCCCCGAGAAAGGATTGAACATACCTTTACAAGCATCATGATCCACCGCCAGAATCCGACCAATCTTCGACCCGATATCACCCCCTTGTGCCACATACCCACCCTCAAACCCAAGATTGACCATCACCTGATCGACGACCCTGGCCGTATCGCCCCCAGTGAAGTTTTTATCGAGTGGCGGGCCAGAGGACAGTGTGAAGCCCGGAAGGGAGGGTACCACGACATGGAACGGTAGCTCCTCCGGAGAATACTTGTCCCTCAGGAGGGACAACAAGGGTAGAAATTCAAGGAAGCTTCCCGGCCAGCCGTGAAGGAGGACGATGGGCACCGCGTCGGCTTTCTTAGAGAAGAGTCCGACAAAATGGATGGTCATGCCCTCTATCTCGTAGGTGAATTGCGGGAAGCTGTTGATACGATTCTCTGTTGGTCGCCTGTTTTAGTTGGTGTGAGCCGGGTTGACCTCTTCGCGGTTATAAGCTAGATCGATGAGCCGCATAGTGCTTGAAATGGCACTTACCAGTCGAAGTCCTTCCAATCCTGTCTCGCGTGGAGGAGCCAGTCTCGCGTGATTCCATACTTACGATCTTCTTGGGAGTTCTCGTAGGTAGGCGGGGATACCTTGGAGATTGAAACGAGAACGCTGAGCTCTTCGAGTTTCTCACGGGGGATGTTGAGCTGAAAAGGCTTGGGAGGGATCTTGGCTCCCGAGGGAACGTCGCCAAATGGGTTGGCCATTGTTCTCAGCGGTGATAAATGTTGTTTAATGTCAAAGTTGATGTTGATGTTGATGTTGTGCAGACCGCATGATGTATGAACTGCGGGGTCGCGCAAGTACTTATGTCTCCCGAGTCTTTCTCCTGCTCCCACCAACAACGGATATGTCAATCGACTATTAATGCATGCTTAATAATACGCAGAGCTAGACACAGGCTACTTTGTGTCAATTCAACTGCGCAAAATTTCCTGACCGAAGTGCCTAAGCTGCACTAGCATCTTTCGATATGGCAAGGTATTGGAGTGAGATCAGGCACAAGGCTGCAGCGATCAAAGCGAGTTGAAGATAGTTGTCATACTGAAGGACTATGAACTTGAAACATGATGGCCCCGATTTGTAGCTGTATTCTACCTATGCTCGAGTGCATCGACACATTGACCACTTATCGAGGACGCATTCGCTTGCCTCTCATCCGTCTGTTTGTTCCCGGCCTTACTCATATTCGACTGTCTATATATCGGGGTACTAGAGCATCAGATTCTGAGGTCTATCCCGCCAAGTACTGGTGCAGTAACTCGGTGGTGTATTGCAATCACGCAGTATAAGACGACTATAGCTCAAAACCTGATTGTATACCCGAAGCAACGGAAGTGCACATTAGTACAAGTTCATAGTATGTTCAGATCAGATCTATGCCCTGGGAACTCGCTGTATGCGCCTAGCCTCAGCATGCAAACATAATTAGCCACCGACAGAGGTGGTTTACTTGGAGAATATGGGATGTATCATGGAAGCTCATAATCGATCGTGGAGAGGCGGGTTCTATGTACAGCATAGCGATGTATGGTAGCTTATAATGTAGCAACAACCTCCCGTAACACCTTGACGAGCGATGTGAGTTCCTCCTCTGTTCTAGATCAGCAAACACAATCCACCCCGTGACCTCGCAATTCTCACCAGTATTATAGTGCAGCATACTGATCCGCACGACGCCATCCTCGACATCTTCCAGCCCGATGATGTCTTTGATCAAGCGGTGACTATACATATGCCCGCTCCGGAAGCCAAAGGGCGATCGCTTCTCGACCTCTTCCACAAAAGCCTGACTCTTGATTCCTTGGACCACAAAGCTGATGACAGGGACCCGGAGCGCCTTCTTAGCTGATGGCTCTCCGTAGAGTGTGATGCGCTCCTCTTCATTCAGATAATCGAGAAGGATCGCCTGCAGCTTCTCTTCGAAGGTGGCAATCTGGTCCCACGCTGCTGATATATTAGAACCAAAGTATTCCACAACACGGGGGATGCTCTGTGCCAACTCGTAGTTCGCCGACGCTAGACCGAGCTTCAAATCTAGAGTTTCGGTGCTCTTGAAGTAGTGACACAAGGGGCTGATTTGGTCATGGATGCGCGACGCCGCGTAGAGCTGGGCGATATGAGGGCCGTAGACCTTATACCATGAAAATGCCTTTTCTTGTTAGTATACGCTCCATATCGAACCGATACTCCCACATACATAGAAATCAACATCCAAGTCTATGACATCCACTTGTCGGTGTGGGGCGAGTGCGACGCCATCAACGCACACTAGGGCCTAGGAGATGTGAGACAGGACCGATCACTCTGGCACGATGTCATACTCGAGGATATTGATGCACTATCTTGGCAATCTGTTTAACGTCGCTAATGGTGCCGGTGATGTTAGAGGCATGGGGAAACGCCACAAGCCTCGTCCTCTCCGACAGCAATGCTTTTAACTCCTCAAGGTCGCAGGTGGGATTATGCCTATCGGATGCCGACCACCACTTGACTGTCAGTCTGAGGCGTTGCGCGATCCGATTCCAGGGCGCGGAATTGGCCTCGTGGTTCAACTTGGATATAATAAGCTCATCTCCTGGCTGAAAGTCGAGGGCGGTCGATAGGTTGTGGAGTAGCTGTGTGGTTGATACACCCAGGCAGATCTACGGAGAGAATAGACTCAGTACTGTATTTGAAATAAAGTTGAAGCTTCATACCTCTTCAGGCTTCGCGTTTATGAACTTGGCTGCCGCTTCGTAACCGTGGCTGTAGGCGGCGGTCGACGCTTTGGCTGTTTTGTATGTGGCGCCCAATTGAACGTTGGTCGTCGAGAGATAAGTTGTGATTCTGCAACGAGGCCGAATAAGGGGATGCTCTCGTTCAATGCTTTGTGACTCACGATTCAATGACCGAGGCAAGCACTTGGCTGCCTCCTGCGTTGTCAAGGAAGACTTGTTCCTGGTTCAGAGCTGGGAAAAGGGATCTCGCGTCGGGAATGTTGAATGTCATCTTGCGAGGAGTTCGATGGCGGTATGCTTAACAATCGATAAAAGTGGCTTTATGGAGGTGGTGTTTTGTGTAGGGACAAGGGAAACAGGGGAGAAGAGGATGAAGAGGAGGAACCCCGCTTGGTGATTAACAACAGAATACGGAGGAGTAACTATCACTAATTTCCCCTCTTCCCCTCTTCCCCTTATCCCCACCTTTTCGGAAATACTTTCCATTGTCTCTCCAACTTCAGTCCACTTTACATTCGTGTTGATCCTGTGAACAGATGAAAGAAAAACATCTGTTCTTCTATGACAGCGTCTCACTTGCTGTCTTGCCAAGAATTGACCGCCAATCTCGCCCCTTCGATGCATGCGGAACGATGGTGACTTGAGTCGCAACTTCGATACAACGCTCCAACGTCAATGCGAAATTGGCGATGGATTCATCCTCCTGGTCCAATCGATCAGCTCAGATTACCCGAGTGCTACCAGCGGCTGGAGCTGAGTTTAATCCAAAGACCACACGACAATGCACGCGCAAATTCAGTTTATGAACAGGAGACATCTGCTGGAGCCCTCCGCTCTCCGTCATTCTTATCGGCCTGGATCTGTCTGATCGCATGTGCCATCCAATCGTGGCCCGTGAGAGCTATCAACCAGCAAGGGTGCTTATCTTGCTTATCTGACCCTGGGGCATCAATCATTGATGGGAGCCTGCAGGGTATTATAGTCAATCGTCGGACTATGTGCAATCCGTCCTCCACTGGCTTGCGACCGAGTGTTTGACAATTCATCCTTCACGTCAGGCCTGGGTCGCTGTTCTGTGCACCTGTCGATATACTAGAACATCATTCCATCATATCCGAGCACAGGTGGAGGACTGTGAGCAACCGCCATGAAGTTCAATCGGCCTCACCTTCATGTGGCTCAATCGAAGTCTGCTTTTGCAGAGGGCAACTCTCGATGGACTAACCTCGATCTCGACCCGGTACCTCTGCATCGCCGTAAATGGGGTCCTCTCAGTTTTATCTGTTAGTCTCCCACACACCGTCGTCGCGAGCTCCTGCTGACGAGAGTTAGCTTACTGGATCTCCGACGCTTTCAATGCGGCGACATGGCAGTTTGCCAGTAGCATTATTGCCGTCGGTCTTAGCTGGCGTGAATCGATCGCCATTGTCGCTATTTCCTTCTTCATCATGTCATTCGTCATCGCCGGGAATGGCGCGGTGGGTGCGATCTATCATGTTCCCTTTCCAGTAATTGCGCGAGCCAGCTGGGGCTTTTGGGGATCATATGTCGCCATCGTCTCCCGGGTCATCCTGGCGCTCTTCTGGTTCGCCATCCAGAACGTTAACGGAGGAAATGCCGTGCGGGTCATGATCGGCGCGATCTGGCCCAGTTTCTTAAAGCTGAAAAACAACATTCCTGAAGACCAGGGAATCACGACTAATGGCATGGTGAGCTATTTTATCTTCTGGCTCATCCAGCTGCCTTTCCTTTGCATTCACCCGAACAAAGTGCGATGGCTGTTCGTGGTCAAATCCGTCATTGTTCCGACCGCATGGATTGCGATCCTGATTTGGGCATTTGTGGCTGAGGGTGGAGGAGACATGTTTGCCCAGAAGCCGACGGTTTCTGGGTCGCAGTACAGTTGGTTGTTCTTGTCGAGTATGACTGCAGTTCTGGGTAATTACGCCACTCTGAGCGTGAATCAGGTATGTGTCATTCCGAGATCAACCCATTAGTGTCTAATGGGCTATAGTCCGATTTCTCACGATACTCGCGCGTTACCCCGAAATGGCAGCTGCTGTACGTTCCAATGCTGCCAATCATCTTTACCTTCATCTCCTTCATTGGAATTGCCGCTTCTTCGGCGGGCCAAGCCCGTTACGGGGGTGCGATCCCATGGGATCCGATCGAGTTGATCAGCCACTGGTCCAGTCGAGCGTGTCGATTTTTTGCCGCGTTCTCCTTCCTGTTGGCATCCTTGGGAGTCAATATCTCGGCCAACTCCATTTCCGCAGCGAACGATTTGATGGCACTGTTTCCGGAGCACGTCAATCTCCGACGGGGCCAGATCATTTGTGGATTGCTATCCTGGGCTCTCGTACCGTGGAAGATCCTTGAGTCAGCAGGCAATTTCATGAATTTCATGTCGGCATATGCGATTTTCCTCGGACCGATTGCCGCGATCATGCTCTGGGACTTTTGGGTGCTGAAACGCGGAAAGTACGATACCATGGCGTTATATCAACCACACAACCCTATATATAGATATTGGTGGGGGGTGAATTGGCGGGCCATTGTGGGGTTCGTGGTGGGGGTGGTGCCAAATCTGCCAGGGTTGATCCATTCGGTGAATAGCAGCATTCCGGTGGGAGTGGGGATCCACCCGTATCAGTTCGGATGGCTGCTGGGGTTTGTAGCCACGAGTATCGTTTACGTCGGGCTGTCCTGGTGGTTCCCGGCGCGCGAGTCCCTCATTGACCGGGCCGTGATGGCCGAAGAGATCTACGAGGCGCGGGATCACATTGAGGGGATGCCGGCTGGGTCGGACGAGGCCTTGCACGAGCAGGAGAAGGTGAAGGTCTAAGTTGCGTATAGAGTATATGATTTAGGCCCTTCGTTCATCAAATCGAGAGAAGCAAACCAGAAAGAAAAGCCAATTTTTATGCTATAAAACCCCACAAGAAACGCCCGCATCACAAGGGTTATAGAACCAGACCGGAAGCAAAACTACACCTCCAAGCCAGCCCCCCGCGCATAAGCCATCGCCTCCTTAAGAACTTTACTGACAGCCGACGAAGCCCTCCCAACCTCGCCGCCATCCTGCCTTGCGCTCTCCACCCCGCGCTCAACCGCCTTGAGGAATCGCGCGGCAAAAACGCGGAACCGATCCTCCCTCGTCTCATACATCTCCCCTTCCTCATCCCTGGGCTGCCCAAACAGATTGAGATAGACATACGGCTGCGCCGTCTTGGGAATGAGATGGGCCTCAACCTGCGCAAGTGGGAACTCCGAGTTCCCGACCCCTGCCCCAGCCTGACCCCGATTCTCTTCCGTCCACCCCATAACCACATCCCCGTCTTCATTTCCGGACATACCGATCCCCACATCTAAGAACTCCGCCAACACCCCCAGCACCTTAACCATCGGCTTCCCCTGACTCCCGGACTTCCCGAACGCCGCTCTTGAGGCTGACCACTTGGACGACTCCTCCGTATGCCAGCCGAGCACGCTCAAAAAGCAGTTGAGCGTCTTGATCCAGCCGCCGGCACACCCGACGACCTCTACGCCGGCCACCTCCACCAACCACGCCAGCACCTCCACCGCGGTGACACGGATATCCGCGGCCAGATGCGTCATCCCCGCGCGGATGAACGGGAGCAGCTGGGCGACGTGGTCCTCGACGTCGCGGGGCGGAAGCGCGCGGAACAGCTTGAGCAGCTGGGTGCGCACGCCCGTGTTGCCGTCCAGGATGAGCGGGGAGAGCGTTTGGAGCAGCGTACTTACCGGCTGCGGGGGCGGGCTGCCGCCGGGGCGGCTGTTGGCGAGGTGAGTGGTCAAGTGGGCGAGGGAGTCGCGCCGCTGAGTGTCGGATTTGGAGTTAAGAAGGGAGACATGATGCGTGAATTGCGTGGCGGATGTCGGTGCGGAGAGTGTGAGGGATTGTTGCGTTAGGGTTATGCCTAAGCCGGGATTAGCTATCGAAAAACTCTCAAAAATAAAAAAAAGAAAAAAAAAATAAAGAGAGAGAGATGTAGAGGGATCATACTTTTCGCTTTGAAGCTGGTGTCGGTGAAGTTGTCGGGCTTGGCTTTGGCTTTGCCGACTTTGAGTTTGGCTTTCTACTCAGAGTCAGCTCAGTATAGATGTTTTGGCACGGGCAGGGGTGGCGGCGGACCTGAAAATCCTTCTGTTTCTCCTTCTTCTTCTTGGCACTGGAGCCCATTGTGCTGAATACGAGGGGGGAATTACTATTAAGGGAATATTTGAGAGGGAATTGGTTTGGAGCACGTGTTGGTGCTGGTCGAGGTTGGATGTCGTTGTCTTGCTGGATTTTGACTGGCTGTGGAATTTTTATAATATCACGTGATGTCATGTGAGATCTAGGTTGCGGTGCGTGATTGGACGGTCGGAGTATGTTGAAGATACAGCAGGAGAGCAGGGAGGAGATGCACGGTGATACCTAGTAGATTAGATATTGACAACTGATGGTAGTTGACTGACATCTGTAAGATGCGTGTCAGTACCAGAAACTTCGATGCCCCCAACGCTGCACTTTTCACTTCCACTGCATATTCAATGCTGCACAGGGAAGATCCAACTGGCCCATACTAATAATCAATCAACATATAGCAAGAACAATCTCCACTTCCCTCTACTCTGGACAATGAAGACACTGGAATACCGTTCTCTACCGAAAAGGCAACCAAGGGAGTATATGCCGAGATGTGACACAGTAGCACCTACCACCACAACTACCAAAAAAACCACCGACCAGACCCACCAAACCGGCTATAACCACTACACCTCACCCTCATCCCATCTTTAATACTCCCCTGTCCCTACGTATCCTTATCAACCTCCACCCAGAGAACGAAGAAAAATGTACTCCTCGACCCTACGCCCCCGCCACCCTACAACATCTACAACAAGAACAACCACCACCACCACCAAACCGTCGACATCCTACCTCCTCCCCACAACAACAACCTGGCGCCACCTCCCCACCTACACCACCCTCCACCACGAGACCTTCAACATCTACACGCACCTCCTCCCCGCGCTATTATGCCCCGTACTGGGGATTTTTACCTCCCTGCCCCCGCTCCACATTCTCAGCTGCACGGTGTGCCTGGGGCTCTCGGCCGCCTACCACGCCAACAACCACCAGTCGCCATACGCACTGAAGGCCGACTACTGCGGGATCCTGCAGTTGTTGGTGATTAATTTTGCGACGGGGTTGCATTATGCGTTTGCTGCGGAGGCGGATCGGAAGTGGCGGGATGTGTATATATGGATTGTGAGGTTGTCCCTACCCCTGCCCCTGCCCCTGCCCCTGCCCCAGGATGAGAAACTGTCTCCAGTGGAGAAGAATGGCTACTAGTACTAGCCGGCACTGGTCCAAGTATCGGGATGATGATGATGGCTAATGGGGCGGGAGGGAGGGTTGATCTAGACGATTATCCTAACGCTCATTCCTGTAACACTGCACCTACACCCCTCTTCAACCACGGACGGCAGCAGCAGCAGCAGCAGCAACAGCAGCAGCAGGAGGACTATCGACATCATCACTACCACTACCGACAGTATCACCGCGGACAGTGTTGACAGCGCCTCCACACGTACACCACCAGACACCACCACGAAGAAAAGACCAGAGGACCCCCACCGCACCCTGCGCGTCACCTCGCTCATCCTCACCGGCCTCACCGCGCTGATCCCCATCACCCACCTCTACCACCTCCACGATGTCCGCTACCTCCTCGCCGTCGGGGTGGGGTGGTACACCCTGGAAGGAATGGCGTTGATCCTTGGGGCGGTGGTGTATTTGGTGAGTTTTGTTCTGCCCTGCCGGCTCTTAACGTCAGTATTCTTTGCGTAGCTTTTTAAGTCCAGCACCAGAAAATGCTCTGCTCTCAGTGGAACAGACCCGCTTCCCTAGTACTGTACCTTGGGGCAACAGACAATAACTAAACCTCTGCACTTATTTACTGGCATATCATATATAAGCGGAACCAGGCTAAACTCAGCATACATTAGAACAAAATCCCCGAGAAGTGGTTCCCGCATACCACCGTGTTCATGCTGTGGTCGTCGCATGCGTTTTGGCATGTGCTGGTGCTGGTGGGGATGATGGCGCATACGATGGGCTTGGTTTGTGCGATGGAGTTTGCTGTGCGAGAGGCACAGGATGTTTTGTGAGGGTTTTGGGGGTGATGTGATATGACGGTGGGAGCTTCATGCCCTGGTTTAGATGGGCAGAACTAGAGTGGGATACGGGCATGTTTCTCGGAGGGTGCTTGTGAATTTGTCAAGTTGAGACTGAAGGAGTAATGACCTACATAGTACTTATTCTTTCACCAACGCCTACATCTCCTAATGCCCATGCACTCATCATAGATCATCAACATCAATCTCAATTCCACTAACAAACCATAAACATAAACATAAAGCATAACTCATCCATAACTCTATTAGCAATGTAACAAATCAAGAACCAAACAATGAGATGCGCACTTCTGCCCGGTCCCAAGTCTCAAACCAAATAAGCATAAAAACATAAAACTAAAGACTGGGAGCCGGGACAGACGCGATTGTATCAAGCAGAGAAAAACACAAAGTCAACAACAGCAAGCTAATCATTCCGCCCCTGAGATAATAGAAAGAATCATCATCCGGCTCTTTTCATCTTCGCAAACCAAAGTCACGCCGCTATTTGCTGCTTCTGCCATCCCCGAGAGAGATAAGGAAATCCCACGTGTCCACTCATAAAGAGTTCATTAAACAGACTCGATGCGAATCCACTCGGCTAGCGAGGACATGCATTCTTCTGAGATTCAACGAGACTGGTGTCCACGGGGTCATCATGTCTATGTCATGAAAAGGATAAGGAGTGTTGGGAAAAGGGTCAACACCGGATAGCTCGTATCGAGGTCGACAATTACTGAGATTAAGGTGGAGGAAAGAAACGAAGAGAAAAGGTCAGGCGATGAGTAGTTCTCACAGACTCATCGTCAACCATTCCCATTCCTGGCTGGCTCCTTGACCACCCGCAATACTGTGATTGACAGGGTTCGCAGCAGCCGGGGGCATGGCTGGGGCCAATGGAACCACCTTCGAGCGACCCGCCGAAGCGAGACTCGCCTTGTTCGCATCATCCATGGGGTCCGCGTCCGTGGCCTTTTCCAGCCGACGTTGACGTTTAGGCGCCACCTGGATCGAAGTGCGAGCCTGGCCGGGCGAGGATGTCGACGGGGTGGACTTGGGAGGCGCAGCCGCAATAGGTACTACGCCCTGAGCACGGCTAGAGGACGGCGTACCCCCGGACATAGCCGGCGGGGATTCCGACGAGGTCGTGCCACTCTGAGCCCGGCTCGAGGTGGGCGTGGTCACACTCGCCTGTTGCACCGAGTTCTTGCGCGCAGACTTCTTGGCCGACCGCGACGCACCCACCGCGAGGCTGTTGGCACTGCTGCGGTTGCGTTTCTTGATCACGTCCGTCTTAAGCGACAGGGGCCGCACTACACCATGCAGTTTCAGGAATAAACCACAGGCGTTGCACAGCGGCTGTCCTTCCGGGTTGCGGCGCCACAGGGGGGTGGTCTGAGTAAAACAATTCGTGCAAGTGGTCGGTCCGCTGCTCTCGCCATTTTTGGAGCCTCCGGGACTGGCCGGACGGGAGGGAACGGCACTGCTCAAGCCAGACTCGGGCGGAGTATTGGGTGAGGTGTGAGAGGTGTTATTCGCGTTCATGCTCTGGCGCAGTAGCTGCGAAGTGTTGGGGGTGGAGGTGGTGCGCGCAATCTTCTGCCGACGGGGATCCTGCTCCCGATTGCGGACCTCGCTGACCGAGGCGACCGACCCGTGCGTGCGGCCCAGACTGCCGCCTTGGTTCCACTCACTCGGAGTGTCCATCATGTCAGCCGATCCGATTGTCACATGCTTGCGATGCTGGGCCGCAAAGCCGGGTAGAGAGTGGAATGAACCCGGAAATTGCGCATCCCACTGCATCCCAGCATTGAGGTCAGCAGCCTCGTCCGCCAGATCGTTGGGCATGGATAATCCAGCGCGGTCGGAGAATTGATTGACGTCATCGTCCTCGTTGTCCGAGTCAGCCCCAAAGCTGAACATGGCTGTATGGGACGTCCCTGTGCCGAAATCGCCCAGAACTTGGGTCGGGTCCACGTGTTGCGGCTGAGGAATGGGATATCCGGGCGAGTGCATCGTCGAAGGGGGGTTGCTGGCATGGTGCGATTGGTCCTGGTTCTGATTGTACATGTAACGTGGCTGCAACGAAGCCGACAGATTCGACGATCGATGCGTGACGTAGTTGGGAACCCGCCGTTGCGTGCGCGCATCGATCAATGGCATGTCAAAATACAGATTGTGCTCTCCATCATACGCCGGCTGCGGTGTCGAGGCCGTCGACTGGTACCCCGACGGAGGCGGAGAGAAGAAATCGGTCGAGTTCAGGGACGAAGCCACTGGGGTATGGGCGTACAAGTTGGCAAACGGGTTTCCTGACGTCATGGGAGAGTCGCTGGGCGAGAACGTAAAGTTGGTCTGGTAGGGTCCCGCCGAGGTCAGGATCGGATCGTCGCCCAGGTTGAACGTATCCAACCCGAATGGCACATTGGGAGAAGTGTGGTTCGCGGGATGGCCGGACGGGTGGCCGCCGTGATGCAAGCCAAATGCCGACGACGCATCCAGTGTGTAGTCCGGCACAGCGCCCGCTAAGTCGGGGTCGTGGTGGGCCAGCATCGTGTTCGACACGGGTGGCACTTGCGGGGACGCTTCGGCGGGTCGCTTGCGGGTGGGCACCTGTAGACCGAAGAACTGACGCTCGTCGATGCTCGTTTTGCGCACCCGACGGGGGACGTAGCCGAATTCGCTGTTCTTCCGCTGGTCTTGGGGAGGATGGGTGAAAGAGGCGGGTACGGGGGTGGGCTCCACCAGGTGTTCCTTGCGCGATGACTTGATGGGAATGGCAGCCGACGCCGTTTCGCCCTTGGTGGTCACAGGGGAGGGATGGTCGGAAGGAGATTCGAAGGGAACAATGAAATCGTCGAGATTCATGGGATCCGAAGCCAGGTCGGTGGTGGAGGGTTGGTGTGAGGCGATGGGGGTGCGATCGGACAGACGCAGCTGGGCGATCCCACTGGGGCCCGAAATGCTGTGTCTCGTCGACAGGCTGGCCGGGGAAAAATGTGAGCGATCATTGCCGCAAGAGCGACCGTGAGGAGAAGCGGTGATGATGGGGTCGCCACCTACCTAGAAATCTCACTGCGTTCCCGTTCCTTGCGTCTAAGACTCATTGCCATCATGCGCCAGGTCAAATTCTCCATACGCTCCTGGTTGGGGAGCTGAGCCTTAGTCCTAGAGTAGAGCTTCCATATCTGAGTGGCTAAGGGATCATTCCTTTGCATCTCATCGGGACAGTCGTTGCTCTCTTTGGGCGACTTCCATTCGGGGAACAGAGAGTCGTTGAGCAAGCCGTCGTGAGCCTGGGAGGAATCGGCGGGCGAGATGGGAGAGTCAAAGGAGAGATCGTCAGAGAGTTGAGAAGACGGAGGAGGAAGAGGGAGACGATAGTCGTTGGTGTTAGAAGTGGTGGTGGTGGAGGAGCGGCGGTCGGAGTCGGCGGAATGTAAGGTCGAGGCGAATGCCGCGGATTGCGTCGGTCGCACACCACTCAACCCAGACATCATGAAAGGCTATTGGCAGAGCCCACGAGGGGCAGACCGGGCAAAAACAGGGCAATCTGATGGACTCCAGCGATTAACACAGAAGTATAATAACACCGCGAAGAAAAAGAAAAGGAAAAAGAGCTAGTGGGAGGTCCAGAAAGTCGAAGAGCGCGCGGGCCAGATAAGACTTGCAGAAGAAGGCGATCGGGAAAGACGGGCGAAAGGGACCAAGCGGGAAAAACGATAAGAACAGGAAAGAATAAAGGGAAGGGTTGGAGGAGGAGAAAGAGGGAGGAATTGAGGGGAAGGAAAAAGAAAAGAAGAAAGCAGTAGCAAAGAATGAACACACCACACACACACACACACATACACCCCCCACTAAATGGATCGAATATAGGAATGACTCAAGGAATGGCAAGAGGAGGAAAGTGAGTGAGTGAGTAGTGTAGGGAAATGCAGGGTGCGGAGAGGGGAGGACAGAAACCGGGCCGGGGAAAAATGAGACGGAACGAAAGAAAAGAGAGTAGGTTGTGTCAGTGGAGGGAGGAGGGAGTAGGGAAGGAAAAGAGACGGGAAAGAGTCGGAGGGATGTCCATGAAACAACAATTCCTCTCTACCCGCCCTAAACGAAAAAACATCCCCCTCAAATAACACTCACTCACCCTGCACTCTCTGCTGCTCGGGCACAAATTGAATTCCTCCGGATAATAAATCGGAAAAGAGATCCCAGCGAACTCAACTCTTCCGTAAGGAACAAATGAGGGAGGTGGACGGGCAATGAATGGTAAGGTAGGGATGGAAGGAGTGTGGGGGAGAGGTGGTGTTAAATGTTAAGTACTGTATTGATATGTCCTCCGCCACAAGAGACAAGACAAAAAAAAAAGCAAAAAGAATAAGAAGAAAGAAGGTTTCAAAGCCACGCTCACTCACTCTTCCAATGAAGGCAGACAATGTCTCTTTTCAGGATCAATATTAATAGATGGGCAATCCCAAATATGTGAAGACACAAGACGGCAGTTCAGCCGGAGGTGCAGGAGGAGTGATGCGAGGCTACTTTCTAGTGGGAAAGAGAAGAAAAGAATAAGAATCAAGAATAAAGTAAAGTGGTGAGATCAATCGAATCAACCAACAGCCAGTCTGTGCCTTCGACCGCAGCAGGCTCGGCTTTTCCTGTTTCAATCCATGGGTGGTGATGGTGGTGCGTGCATACCTGGTATGAAGTCCTTTTGACGGTTCCACCTGGTTGACTTTCCCCCCTCTCTCGCAATTACACAGGGCCGGGGTTGCCTTGTCAGATGAAGGATGAACTGATTGATCACTGAGAATGGAATGAGGATCTGGCGGTTGTTGTCGGGAGTTGCTGGTGGCTGATGATGCTGATGGCTGACCGGGGAGAGGGGCTAGACCCTCCAACCACACATGACGCGGTGGAAAACTATATTCGGAACAAGAGCAATGGCAATGGGCCAGGCAGGAGAAGATGAAGAAGAAGAAGAAGAAGAAAACTGAAGAATGGTATAGAAAAAAAGCCACCAAGAGAGAAAGAAAAAGCAGAATATGAAGAATAAAGAGAAGAGCGGAGGAACTCTGGATGGATCAAGTACTAGCAGTCTAGCAGTAGTCTGACAACCCGTCAGTAACTTAAGAATAATTGTCCCCGACACAGTGGAGGCAAATCAATGATGAATGACGACGGGAACCTCCAAACCACAAATAGTTAAACCCACATAAAACAAGATGACTATAGCATTGATGGTTGGAGAAAGGAAGAGGGAAATGAGGGGAGGGGGGGTGGGAGGGGGAAGGAAGAGCGAGACAGAGAGATCTAATTATTATTTTCAGACTCTCAGTCCTAGGATGATTTGCCAATTTCTCATCCCAAGAAAAAGTGTACCTACTTGACCAGTTAACAACCTAGGGAAAAGTAGTCTATCCCACTGGTCCGCCAATAGGTTAAATTGGGGGCAAAGACCGAATCCACCCTCCCGTACCGAGCGAACAGGCAGCCTGTTTCTGATTTGTCCTTGGCGGCGGGCGTCTTGGTCTGGTAATTTATGGAGGAGTTGCCTCTCCGCGCAGGTAATTATATGAAAAAGCGGACTGAAGAGGGAAATCAATGGCGAGGAGAGAAGAAAGAAAACAAGAGGTGGGAGCACCAACCGGGGGCAGGAACAACAAGATTGAGAAAGACCAAAAGAACAAGAACAATCACTCTTCCAAGATCTCGCCCGGTGATGATGCGGGATGATGTCTTATATACAAGGGTGAAGGGTGATTTAGTGTCCACAGCATCGTAACTAGCTGGTCTGATCCATTGCGAGGTCGGGTATCAACTCTCTTTCAAACACACACTCTCTCTGCAGTCTCATTGTTGCTTATTGATGTGAAAGGGAATTGATTCTTCCCCACCCCGTCTGGTCCCTCTGGTCCCTCTGGTCCCTCCATTGCCCCTCCTCCTCTCTGCCTGTATCCTTCGGCCTAGATCCGCACGAAGGATGGAGGCAATCTCCATCCAGCCATGCAGTAGCCGCACCGCTAAACGAAACGCAGTGCAGTTATTAGACAGGTTCTTTTTTAGATTCCTCTCCTACAGTAGTGACTTTGACTGCCGTGGCCGGGTGAACTAAGGCAAGGTAAGCTCGGACAACCAATCGCACTCCGTATGTATTCTCTTTACATCCTTCCGGTCCCGTACCGCAGTAATACGAAAACCAGTTAGTGGTTTTTTGGGAGGGGGGGGGGGAGAAGGAGTTTCTCGAAGGCCCAGCAGCACAAAAAGCTAAAGTAAGCTTGCGCAGTAGATTTAAGTCAGTATAATTGGCTTGTGGAATAGAGATTCACTTTTGCTCCTCCCAGCTGTGGACAGTGGATGGTCCCCGCCCTGCCCAGGAAATTGATTGATGTCAATCAGCCATAAGTTATTTGTGTTAATAACTGCTGTCTGCAAGACTGTGTTGCCTCCCCGCCTCTTCCCTCTCCCTCTCCCGATCTGGTATTTTCCTCGACCTATTCTTCGGATGAAGTAGGATAGCATCAGTGGTGGTGATATTCAGTAACATCAGGACACCTTGTCTTTGTCTTCGTCAGTAGACTGTCCGCATGAATACACGATATACGCTCATCGGGACAGAGAAATAAATCAAGAAAGACAGCCAGCTGCTGGAGACAGACAGTCTGAAAGCCATGCACGGCAACATAGCATACCCACTCTCCGAGCAAACATACACAGCCTGTAAACCGCCCAGGCCCCAAACGAGAAAACAATCCGGAGCCCCACCAATCCCTCGTAGGGAATTCGCCCCTCTCAGCTCTTCACATACTTACCTACAGACTGCTGCCGAAGCAATAGCTTACGGAGTAGAATAGCGACAATGTACAGTACTCTGGTCTCAAGCCAGCAGATGCCCAAGCAGCAAAAAGAAGCCAGTTAACTATACGAATCACGAAACAGCATGATCAGCCAAACCACTCCCTTTGTTTCAAAGGTACAATAGTTACACATGTTAGTGACTCAGTAGTCCAACCCCTCAAACCAGCGGAATGATTCAAGTGCCTCGGGATTAGATTTCCCACCTGTTGTTGACTGACTGACTCAACCTCCGCCCTTTCGTCCTCCGCGTTCCGGCGCCGACACACACGGCTCTCGTCTCCCGGCTGTCTCGCATCGGTCACCTCGGACAGAGTAGAATAATAACCAGAGCAGCTACTCAAACGACAGCACAAGAAAGCAGCACATCAGAGCCAAGAAAGAAACGTCTGTAAGCAACGGAGAAGCAGCCGTTTTCAATCTCCAACCCATCGCCATCAGTACTACTGGTACATCCGACCGGTACCGGGGACCTGGCGCGGGTGTCATCCCTCTGCAGCCAGCGGAACTATACGATCCTGCCGATGACCGGCCGAATCGCACAACTTGAAGGGTCACTATAATCATCTCCGGCGCGAGATGAAAGGGGAAGAGAGATCTGAGCGTCGTTCCGGTTCCATCCTCTCTTCCCCAATCCTGTAGTAAATTAGTCAAGACCTTAACAGCTAACTAGTAAGACTAAGTACGTACCCCCCTCTCCCCCTGTTGGTTAGTACAACACTAAACAACACCTTGATGGAATCGAACCGTGCAGGGACAGCCAATCTAGCACTAGGCTCTAGCGGACATGCATACAGGCCCCAACCCCTCTCCTGCCCTTTCTATCGGGCCGATGGGATAGATGTAACCCATCATCACAGGTTGTTGGAGTAGGTACGGAGTAGGTGGTTTATAGGCGTGTGTACCCAGACCGAGGCTGTATTGGATAAGCCCCTGGAAATCAAGAGTGAGTACGACGCAGCTACGTATCCGCATAACTAGCTATACTATACAGCTGGCTGGTTCGTATCGAACAACTTGAAGACGCCAGCGCCGTTCACCGGAAGGGAGGGGAGGGGGATACGGCAAGATCTCGATCCGGACCGGTGCTGTGTCTCTCCGGATGGCAGAGCGAATGAGACTCCGCTCAGAGAGAGAGAGAGAGAGATATATATATATATACAAAAGGAAGAGAGACAGAGAGGATAGCAACCAAATCAATTTCTACCAGCCACTGACCGTGAGAATAGATGTGAATTGTACTGTAGGTGCTCTGCTCACTCACTGTCCACCGGCGGGGCGGGATCAAGGGACATCCACCACCTCTTCTCCTGTTGGGCAGTCCAGTCCGTTCGGTCCGGACAACTTTGTTAAGCACACACGGCGCCCCCGTCCAAAGCTCCAAGCAGGACGGACCACCGTCCGGTCAAGCACATGGCTTGGAACCACCAGTCCTTGACAACAGTCCGGGAATTAAGGTTACTGTCCTCTCCTCCCCTCCCGAGCAAGCACGGTGGGTTTATTGTGGATGTGGATTTCCTAGTGTAGTCAAACAGGCTACAGCGCCGCAGTGCCAGGAATGAGTTGAGTCGACGTCAAAAGCCCTCCCTGGCGCTAAGTTCCCAGCTATCAGATCCATGACATAACCCCCTTGTCTAACATCTTCACTATCCAAGAGGAAAAGGAGATGATCAATGCTTGCTCCCAGTCTTTAAGTTCCGTCGCCGGTAGAAACGAGGGAGCTTGGGGTGATGGGGTGAATTCGGAGAGTCACCCCCCCACAGAGAGCTGCAGCTAATCCCAAGGCAGCAGGAGTCCATCCAGTAGAATGCCAGCAATAATAGATGGGGGAAGCGAGGGAGGACCGTCCTCCGGAGTCGTAGGTTAGTTAGCTCTACGGCGTATCCGTCCTTAGGACTTGAGTGCTCAGTGCACACTGCACCGTAACTGACTGGACCTTCACCGGAGAACAATAGGCTGAGCTGGCCAAACAGATCCCTAACTTACCCGACCCGTGTATGACCCGGTAATCGCATTCGGTAATGTCACGCCCGTCACAGCCGTTTCAAGCGCGTATCACCCGGAGGGAGAAACAAGCATTGAACAATCGACAGTACCAAAAAAGCCACTTTTGCTGGTTGTTGCTGGCTGAATGGCCACCCACGCTACATACTGTACGAATAATCAATCCCTACAGCCGCAACCCCTCCCTCTCCCCTTGTGTTCCACTCTAATGGTCAGCAATATTAATCAATGGCGGATTCCACGATTCAGGTTGATGAATTGTAGATCCACCCTGCAGGGCGGGTCATGGCTTTCTTTAACGCATACACCTCGAATGCGTACAGCCCGGCGCCTAGAGGGCAAGAGAAGCGGCCTAGACAAGACACATCAGTGTCGAAGCAAACGACTTGATATCCTGGTCGGCATCGTGGGCTGCGTATTCCATGGCCAGACCCCCTCTCTTCGGATATGCAGCTACTCTACGGGTCTGTTCGAGATCCGGTTGTAGTATGTGAATCCAGCTTGGCTTGTCCACCATGATCAGGGATAGCGCTGTATATCCCGACTCAGATAGATGATGACACTGGTGATCAGCCCCTTCGACATCATCATCCTTTTCGTCATTCTCTTTGAAAGATGAGATCCTTTTATATCTCCGAAGCACAGTGCACATCGCGGTGTCGAATGCACGGAGCAAGAGATGCCCCCAGCCCGCCAAACCTGGTCATCCCAGCCCCTGCGGTGGCGATACTTGCGGAGCATGGCGTAGACCGTAAAGATGCGATAGAGCCAGGCCCTGGCCAGGTCGCTCACAGCGACCGTTCCCTAGCTCTCCGTCGTCGTTTGGTATCGAGTCCGGGGCAGTGAACGAGACGGGTAAGAGAGCACAGGACAGCTGGCTGGTCTATTGGTGCTGCCAGACGGGCCAAACCGTCAGTCTCCGTTGTTCCCATAGACAAAGCTCCTAGAGCACGTTTTGCTCCCTTTCGGCCCCACGCGAGGAACGACCGCGAGGTCCACCGCGCTAGTGCGTGATAATCGTGTCTGCCACGCTAAACGACCCATAATGAAATAAAAGATAAGACAGTCGAAGATAAGCTGATAAGAGTGTAATTAGCCTTGGTCATCGGGACTAATCGTTGTCCGGTTTGAATAGCTGTCTTCGACTCTTTTCCCAGCCCCAGCACCAAAAGTACTGTATAAGCCGACCGTAGTGAGCCAGCGCGGGTTGGTGAGTGGTGGATGGAAAGGAGGAGGAGGGGGGGGGGGGGAAGAGGGGACGGTCACAACGTCCACCATTGACACACAATACCAATCAGGCAAAAGGCAGAAGATCAGCTCACATGCAAAAAAAAGAATGGATGGTGTTGCCCCATGGCACGAGGGATTAGTTGTTCAGCAAATAAGAATGAAGTGGCAAAAGGCAGTTATAGAGTTCGGCGCTGGAAAAGGAAAGGGAGGCGAAGGTCGGTGGGCTTGGCTGACTGGTCCGATCCTCTTATCTCCGGATGACTAAGAAGTGGTTCCTCGGGGCGAGGCACCTTTTTGTCTCCCAAGACTCAAGATCAGCTCAGATCAACATCGTCCTTCACCCATTCATGCCTCTCCATCCATCTTCATTCCCCGTCATCCCCCGTCATCCCACCCCCCTTCCCCGTCAATCTCCGTTAGCCATCAGAGTCAACCTACCCGGGGCCGCCTCCAATGAGATTCCCGCCAATACTATAAGATAGTCCGTATAGCCTCTGCGGCCGGGATCTGAGACGACAGCCACGCAACCCATGCACGGCTTAGGGTTGTTCCCATTTTGGTCCGGATGCTGCGTTCCCAGCTTCCGGCGACACCCTGGCCAGCACCCTGACCAACTGGAGAGGCTGGCGTGCCTGGGTCTAACCGACTCGAGTAAGTCCACCGTCGTAAGATGATAGAATCTCCCAGGCATGGTCCGCCACGGCGCGACACAATCGGGATCAACCTTCGGCAGGTCTGGATGCGTGTTTCGACGATGTAGGTTAAAGCAACCTTTGCCGTGTGAGGCAAACAAACAGCCAAAACATCACGCAACATTGCAAGTGACGACGCCACCGACTGGGAGCGGGAAGGGGGAGGCAAACGTAGACTTGACCCAGCGTACTCCATGTTTCGTGGAGGAAGGGATGATAGTTCATCCGTAGCCAGAGAAAGGTCACTGGGCAATGGGCATAGACCACTCCAGTTCCACTTCTGGGGCCGACACACTGGGACTCTCGTCATTAATCCGGAGTACTGCTGCTGGATGACGGCAGAGGAAGGGGAAACCACCGGCTGTACCCCATATTCACCCGCATCCGAGGGGATCATCCTTTAAAACCTTCAGGGCTGCGGAATACCTAATCCAGGCATCCTTTGCTTGGCGGACGGGTTGGTGGCTGCGGAGTAGTGTGACGGGGGAACTGGATACCTCAATCTCACCTGGTCATCATGTGTTGGTTGCACCGTGAGGGAAAGGGCTTGTTCTTCCATGACAAGGCAGCCCAGTCGGATGCTGACTGCAGGGCTGGTCAGATTGGTCAGATGCTTACCGACAAATGGGGTATGCGGCTGTCACGGGCGCATACTGCAATACGAAGCGATAGGTTTGGAGACTGGTTTTGGTGCGGTCGGGTCAGGTGCAGAGCGAGGAGAACCGATCAAAGGCAGTGACAGCCTGAAAGGGAAGTGTGTTGACCAAACCTGACTCGACCTGATAGATTCTTGAGGCTGGTAAGTGGAGTAGGGCTGTGATGGGCAGACATATTCGGTAGAGTGTAGACGGTATAATTGATGGCTGATGGGGTAAATGGAATGGAGGGGAGGGGGTCTGAATGGGGAAAAGTATGGGGTGGAGTCGGCGGTGCATAAGAGGACAAAAGTATCGCACGGCGGTCGATGATAGGCAAATCACCCTCACAAGAAGACATTGGCAGAGAAGAGAAGAAGCAGGAGTACTCAAGAGGTGCGTGTCCAACAACAACAATAACAACAATAACAAAAATATCAGCCAGTCCCTCACGACGAATGCCATTCTATTCCATGTGCCCAGCTGCCCTCTTGGAAACCGCCATCCCACAGAGGCAGACAATCAGGCATCATCGCCTTCAAATGGCGGTCAGAGATTCTATGACACTTTGGACTCATTCACGCAGAGACACACAGAAAGAGAATTGAAACTCAAACTCACAGTCCGGGATGGGCCTGGGTTATGTACTGCTGTGCTCACTTTTGTCGTTTGATTTTTCGCCGCCCGAGGTTTGATAACTCTGCATGTTGACATCTATTTGAAGATGACATTCAAGATAAGGGCAACCCATGTCTCAAAATTGAGTTGTGCCTGCAACCCCTGCAATCTGTCCTCTCAGTCATCAAACAATCGGATTTGAAACGAATCACAGGCAAGGAACCATCCCCTATCGATTGTCCGGGATGATTGGGACCTCCATTGTTATCATTGAACCTATGCAGAGTGCCGAATTTCTCTCCTGCCCGAACTCCAAAGAGCGATAAAGTGAGGCTATTTGACTGGTGGTTTCGATCCGTCTCCTCGGTTTCTCCGCATTCTCGGACCCCAGACGACGAAAATGCCTAGGAAAATCCTGGAGAGGACGAAAAGACTCTGAGGGAGGAGGTGAGTGCTTGCTCTATGAAAGTACTAGAGCCCTACATTCATTGTCCAGAAGGAGACCATGGTATGTATGTATGTCTTATACCATCTCCCTCCCCCACCCCCTCCCCTCCCAATCCCAGTATCATCGCAATTCCATCAGCGAATCCTCTTATCACGACACCGCCCGCTATCAGTACCGAATTCTAAACAACCCATGCTTTTTCATTTTATTTTTAATCCGAGTGTCTATCTGCTCAGCCAGTCACGCGAGCGATTTTCGACCACTGCACATCATCCCGATAAGCACCCCGGCCAGCCAGTTGTGGCCGTGACCATTGGCACACAGCTGGCTGGGTGATTGTTATCGGGTTATCAAATCCTTCCCCGGAATCCCGTCAACAGTCCCGGGCGGTGATTGTGAGGGAGGAGGATCAAAGTTTGTGGATGGGTACTTAGTGTGTACTCCACATTG